GTCTTCATTGACACTCGAGTCTAAGCGATTTACTGCCGCCAGTATTTCTGAGGCGGACGGCTCAGTGTTAGATTTTTTGGTCTGGTCACAATTAGGGCATACCCAAGTTTTTTTGTGTGCTTTTAAGGCTTCGATTTCTTTTTCACTTAGATTGAGACACCGACCGTGAAAAATAATTTTGCATTTTACACAACAAAGATTGTTTTTATCTTCGCGTGCAATAGTATTATTGCAAATATTACACTGCACCATATTTAATTAGAATAGAACAATTAAAATGTAAATAAATACCGGGAGAGAGTTGTTTTGATGAACGCAGTAAACAGTGTTGTCTAATGCTGTAGACAACAAATGTTCTTCAAGGAATCTTTAAGCTTTGATTTAACGGTGTTTTAGTTCTGTTGAACGATTTATTGTTAAATCAGACATTCACAAAATTACTCAATATAATCTAAGTTCAAAATATTTTATTGTAGACTATGCTATATATATTTTTTTTTTGTTCTTAATATTTTTTTTTACTATTTTATAATTTTATTCTTCATACAATTGCAGGCCAAACAATATGGAAAGAGAAAAGTTCTTGGTATATTAGATGTATATGGCTTTGAGATTCTGGACAATAATGGTTTTGAACAGTTTATCATCAATTTTTGTAATGAAAAATTGAATGCTGTTATAACTGAAACCACACTCAAACAAGAGCAGGAGGAATACATCCGGGAGGGTATAGACTGGTGTCCTGTTGAATTCACTGTAAATACTGCTGTATGTGATATTATCGAAAAGGTAAATTATTCATAATATAGAAGGAAGTAGAATATTTTTTTTTTTTTTTACTCTCCCATTCTGTTATAATAGGCATTAAAATAGTAATGTTTTATTTTTCAAATCAAGTCTAGGGAAAAAAACTACTTCAGAAATAAGAAGCTCAATTAATTATATCTCAATTTTTCTTGAAACAACACTCTATTTAATGCAGTTTACAATTTATGTAAGTTTCCCATTAATAATTTTTACAGAATAACCATGGGATACTATGTCTGCTTGACGAAATCAGTAGTAAATCGTTGGACGAAAATGAGGAAGGGGATAGAGTACTGCTTTCTAGGGTGTTAGCTCTATGCGGTTATAGCCACCCTGTCCCTGACAGGAGGAGGCATCAAACCTCCGACAACAGCCTTCCAGCAAGTTGTTTTAGGTAATACCAGTGATGCGGCTGAGTGAAAGACACTGGGATCTCCTAGAGTCCTGCCTTTTCCTCCACGAGTGTGGGGAAAGACTTGGCTCGAAGATCTTGAGTGAATGTATATTGTAAATATTTTATAAAAGCATGTGTGTATTTAAGTATTTATTTTGTTAGATTAGTTTATTTTTGTTTAGTTTAGTATCTTTTAGTTTATACACATTTACTTTTAGTATTATTATATTGATGTTTATTATTTTTATTTATTGTGCATAGTATGGATGAGCTACTCTTTATCACTATTACTATTGTCCTTGAATGTGACAGATTGTAAGATATCTCAATAAAGAAATTTCCTAAAAAAAAAAAATACTTCTGTTTTTTTAATTTTTATTGTTTGATCATTTTCAGATTGAAACACTTTGCTGGAACTGTAACATATAATATTAATGGCTTCGTTGAAAAAAATTTGGATTATGTTCCAAAAGACCTTTCACATGCTATGTACAACTGTGGACATCCATTGTTGAAGTCCCTTTTTCCAGAAGGTACAAACTAGTTTAAAATTTAATGAGAGCCAATCCATAAGTTCTTTTATTTTTTATAAATCATATATAGAAAAAAATTGTGTTTAAATAATTTAATTTTAGGAAATCCTAAAAGGGCTACTTCAAAAAGACCTCCAACAGTTGGATCACAGTTCAAAGTAGCTCTTGGTAGTCTTGTAAGGAATATAGTTTCAAAACGAGCGCATTATATCCGTTGTATAAAACCTAATGAACTGAAACAGCCCAGGATATTTGAAATGGGACTTGTGCAACATCAAGTGAGATACTTAGGGTAAATTTATTATTTATTATTAATGATTAGATAAATAATAAATAATAATTTATTAATAATAAATTTAGAGAGTTAAATATGTTTATGATATTTTCTATTATAATAAATGAAGACCACTGGAGAAAAACAAGCATTATCCAAAAAACTTCAATAAGAGAACAACAAATTTCATAGGTGGACATATGCTTTCATTCTGCCTTCTAGTTATTTTCAAACTAATTTTTAATAAACACAGAATGGTTCTTTTGCACCTACGACCTAAAAGGAATTAATTATTTCCTTCATATATTTTAACCCGCTAATAACTCAATTTTGAAAAAATGTGACAATGCCTGTATTTTTTTCTGTGATCTTCAAATATATTTATATTTCTTATAAAAATATTACATGATACCATTCAGATATTTCAGTTCTACCCAATAAACAACATGCACTATTGTTTCCTTTATTTAGATTAATCATTAAATCAACATTCCCTATAAAATAGAAAATATTTAAATATTTTCTTGGTGTTCATCAATTAATAATTTTTACTTCAAATTTACTTTAGGTCTAATGACAATTACAGTTACATTTTTTATTTTAATTTAAATAACTTCAAGTTATGTGGTTATATATTTTTGTTTCTAGCCTTCTTGAAACTGTGCGAGTGAGGAGGTGTGGTTTTTGCCATAGGCAGACATACATAGCTTTCCTAGAGAGATATAAAATGCTTTCACTCCATACTTGGCCCAATTGGCAAAGTGCTCCTGTAGAAGGTGTTTCTTATCTCCTAAGGGATTTGCCCATACCTAGCGGTGAATTTGCATTTGGAAGAACCAAATTATTCATCCGAAGCCCACGATCTGTTAGTATTTCTTTTATCTGAAATCAATTTAAGTATGGTTGATATACATTTGGTTTAATTAATTATTTTTCTAAATCAATTTGTAATATAAAAGATTAATTTTTATGAAGCTTTCCAATCAATGTGCCATATTGAGACATTATCTCTTGTTTTTAAGAAAGTGGTGAGTATAATTAATATTAAAACAGCTAAAAGATACTATTGATACTATTGGAAGATAAGAGCTTGATACTATTGGGGAAGGAATCTAGTTTATTAAACCAACTCAGCCATAATTAGAACAAATATTAACAGGACATTAAATAAATATAAACATTTGCAGGATGGTGACATTGTATATCTCACCTTATTGTGAACATTTAAACCTTTTTCTTAATAATGATCAGATCCTCCAGTATTTGTTGATACCAACTAATTTCAAATATGCGAAACTATTAATGCATATCCGAACCTCGGGAAACTGTATGATCAAGATTTCTGTTAATAATAAAATTGTGAAAATTATTCCACAACTTGATTGCAAAAAGTGCAACACTAAAGAAAACACTTCATCATATATTATTTAAATGACAAATTTATAGTAGTTTAAGGTTAAAAATTCACCAGGATATGCAAAATCTTGAAGGGATAGAAATATTTAAGCCAACCAGCGCAGAAGATATGAGAAAATTATATTTTTTTATCTCAAATATATCAAATTATAGAGAATTGGTATGATAATCTGAAATATAGTCCTCTGCATATAATGGGAAAAATTCCATATTGCACATCGGTGTGTAATTTGTCCGGGTATTTTTTTTTTTTTTTTTTTTTTTTTTGTTCTCTTAGGTAAAGGGGTAATCTATTAATTTAATTTTAAAACATAGTTTAATATTAATATTTTTAAAAAATGTGTTTTTATTGTTTTATGTTTATTTATTTAATGCATATTGTTGGCAATTTTAGATTTTATATTAATTTGAAAATTGGAACTATTTTAACTGTCTGATTTTTACCGAATATGATTTTTAATTTATGCTTAACAGTGTTGTAATATCTGTTATGTGGTATAAAAAGGAACAATTTCATATTTCCATAAGGATAATAATGTTTGTTATTTTGTGGTAGAATCCATTTGTATAGGGTTCTTCCTTTAAAACAAATAAAGATTGAATTGAATTAATATTAAAGTTTGATTCTTTTAAAAGTTTAATACTTGTTTATTAATTTCTTGCCTTTAAGGTTTGTACTGAGTTTCTTTTTTGCAAACTATTCATATTACATGTAATATAGATCTTCAGTTAATAAATATTCTGATTTAAACAATACTAACCCTCCATATACCCTTTGGTATCTCATATGAGCACTTACCATCTGGTGCATTTTCTTAAACTTCATAGCTTTCACCACTCATCCTTGGAGATGAGCTCCTAACTATAACTCTAGTTCAGCAAGCTTCTAAACTTAGCGCTGAGTTCATCAATGTTATCAAAAATCAATCAGACCATTCCAAAACTCATCAATAGAAACTATCTCTGGAATTCAGTGTATCTCTTTATTCATCAATTGAATCACTGATGGCTAAGCAGTTTCATCAGCTATTCAGGTCAATGGATCTGCTGGATGTATCCTCATTATAACCTCAATGTTTTTATTTCTCAGTTTATTTCTCTATTTAGTAAGATTTAACCCATTTCAATTTGGGAGTAAGGTAAACAAGACAGGAACTCTCTCAATTTCAATCTGGCGTGACTCCTGGATAGAAACATAGAAAAATAGAAAGATGGGCTCCAAAATTTTATTGTTTTTATAATAAAATTAGAATCCCATATTTTTGGAAGACAAGAGAGGGAGGGAAATGAAAATAAATTATGTCCATTCATCTAAGCATAAATATATTGCTATAAAAATAAATATTTATCACATTTTTAATATTTTTAAACCTTAATTATCCCTTTGAAATTTTATTTATTGAAATTTGATTAAACACAGTAAGAGAAATTTATAAAATAAAATTTATGTGGGAAGTATTGTATAATTTGCATATTTAAACTTCTTTATCAATTATTTTTTAAAAAAATATTAATCATGTAGGTTTTTGAGCTTGAAGAATTCCGTCGAGAAAGGCTTGAAGATCTAGCTACTTTAATGCAGAAAACCTGGAGAGGCTACAGGGAACGAAAAATATTTCTGAAGAAAAAAGAGAGCCAAATAATCATCGCTTCAGCTTGGAGAAGTTGGAGGGTATTTCTTTGAATTTTAGTTGTCCCATCCTTCTTTTTTATTTTCATTCATGCTAGCTAAATATTCATTGAATTGACAGCTAATCAATTATTTATTATTTCAATATTTTTTGTGCTAATAAAATAATTATTTATTTTATTTTGGTCTGCCTTACTTATATTCTGCATGCTGCATGTTAGGAATGCCATTTTGGGATTCCTTATGAAGGCCGTCGTCATTTATGGTGCTTTTATAGAATAGTAAGTGAATTCCTTGTTAAAACATATAATATGTGTTCTAAAATACAAACTGTTCATAATTAAATAAAATTAAAATTATTGTTAGATTCTGGTTAAGCCACTATTATTCGATCATAAATATAGAATTAAATTATAATTTAACGATATTTTAGTTAAAATTAATATCATTAGTAAAAGGCCAATTTAGTCTAAATCTTTAAACATAATATTAAGGAATTGGTCATAAAACTTTCTAAAAATCCCTTTTCTGTACCAGTTCTCTCCTCCTGTTTCAGGTCAGCCCTCGCTTCCTGAACACCTCCCGCATGCCTTCCTCCCAGTTGATCTGTGGTCTTCCTCTTGGTCATATTCCTTCCACTCGTATCTCATATGTTATCCTGGCCAGAACAGCCTAGCATGTGAGTTCCTTCCAGAACTCCTAAGAATGAGTATGGAAAGAACTTCTATACTCATCTTTAGGAGGTGCCCAACCATCTTAGCTTATTCTCATGTAGAGTGATTTCTACCAGCAGTACCTCGAGATTTGACCTTGTTGTGTTGAGGATCCTATCTCTCCTGGTCTTTCCTTCAACCTTTCTTAGGTATCTCATCTCCATTGTCTGAATCTGCCCCTTGTGTTTTGAGGTAAGGGTCCATGACGCTGAGGAGTAAGATAGGTTGGGCAAGAATGACTTGTATACTGATAGTTTTGCCTTCTTCATCATCTCTCTTCTATTGAGGAAACCTTTCTGGATTTAGTGGGCCATTCTTTTAGTTACTCCCACTCTCTGCGACAATTCTTATTTATATACCCGCTTTAATCCAGTCTCCTAAATATTTGAAATTCTGCATATGTTCCAAGATCTATCTTTCCAACCTCAATATTATGATGGGGGCTTCTTTCTATTCTCATTCATTTTGTTTTCTCTGGGTTAATATCCATCTTGATGCTTGACAGCTCTTCTTGCAAGACATTTACATTTTATTGGTCATCCATAGCCAATATGATGAATGAAATAAATGAAAATGAAAAAAATGTTTTATTATTCTGGGACTGTTGTCCCTTAAGAACAAAATATAAATACAGATTGTATGTCTGTGTGGTTACAATTAAATTGTATATTTACAATGAAAGTTGACTTAAGATAAAAATACTGAAAAGAGATGATGATGTCATCGACAAAAGCGAGGATTGTGTAAAAAGTAGGATGTAGACTCCTATGTCCTAGTTGAAAGTGCCATAATCTGTAAAATTAGTCCAGCTCAATTCTTTCCATTGTTAGTAATTCTTATTATTTTAAGGGGAGTGGAGTATCAGCCCATTACTCCTGAGTCAGGTGGAGGGTTTTAAACCAATATTATTTCTTTTTTAGTTTCTAATTTTAAAATACTGAAATATAAGCATGGCTGTATGTTTTCCCTTTGAGTCCATAAAAGTACATTTGAAATTTTTCATGCCGTGAGGTTTGGTCTGAAGTCGTAGAAATTTATAAAGTCTTGCACCATTAGCCTCAAAAATAAGGAAATTGTGGAGTTGACCCAAATAGAGTCACGCAGTGCTAGGTTAACCATGCAGGCAAAACAGGCAATCATTCTATAGCCTATTTGAAAATAATTTAAAGTGGTTATATTTTAATTCGCAAATATTTTATTTTAAAAGGACGATCAATTTCATCAAATAAGTTTATAAGTGGCTAACTTACTTTTTTCTTTTAAATAAAATTCATTCACACAGAAACTATCCTGACACTACCTCCTCCTGCATTGCTCAGCAATGTTTCAATATAATTTCAGAACCCATTCTAAATTAACTTCACTTTCATAGTTTAAATTGGCATTACTTTCAGTTAATTTTGTATTATAAACTGGATAATGCAAATCTCAGAAAGTTCACCAAGATCAGCATTGCTTAGGGATGTTCAGTAATATGATTCATAATATGCTAGAGTAATAGAAAATTATTACTTGAATATTGAGGAGTCAACTCTATAGGTGAATAAACTGTCAATTATTTAATATTAATCTAAAAAAACAAAAATACTTGCATACTTTTTTTGTATCCAAGTGTTAGGCACCCTGAAATTTTCACAAATAAGACTTCAACGGTATGGAATGAATAAAAGAAATAATCAAGTTTTAGAGTTATTAAAATAACAAGAATGTTTGTAAAAATTCACATAATGATATTACAGTTTTGTTTTATTTTATTTATTATATTTATATTTTTTATGATTATTTATACCCATATTGATTCTAGGCGAGAGAAGAATATAGAATATTAAAGAGAAGAAAATTAGTTGACTGGGCAGTGCGTGTTATACAGAGGCATTTCATTAGATGGAAGGTAAAAAAATCATTTATTATCAAAATATACATACTCTAGCACTACTGCTAGGACTAATTCAATTTATTTGTATTACTTCCACATTTTTACATTCATACAATTGTGTTGAGTTATGAGTTATCATCATTATCATATTCTACTTGATGCTTCACTACAGATTTAGAAAGTGTCATTCTTCAGAAGGTTAAAAGATATTAGGGAGCAGTCTAAACCCCCTTGTTTCAGAGTGCTGCATGTTAAAATGGTTAATCTTGAACTAATCTATAACATGTAACAAGCAACTAATCTATAACATGGCCCTTGCTATGTATTGTTGTAAGGACCACATTTGGAATATATTTAATTATTTCAAATGAATAAATATAGTCTAAATAATAATTGCTAACACATGTCCGGTTACCTGGGGGTGAGTAAAGACCCCCTAAGGAATGCAACCTTTTGTGAGGGGCAATAAAACACTTAAGGACAAAGATCGGCAAAAACACCAAAGGACCGACACCGGTCATACGTGGGTTTGTTTGGAGAGGATTGGAAGGCTTGTCTAAGCAAGGGAGGGAACAGAAACACCTCCGAGAAAGATGAAACTGCTGTATGGCCTGAAGACGTGGTCATCCCTTATGCTACAAAAATTCTAGCAATGAGAACCATTCTTGCCCCACCCTGAATATTTCTATAAAATCTACTGAGATGCATAGATGAGAGGTCTGATGTGGAGAGCCGGTCCTGAGGTGGAGATCCAGCCTTGAGGAGAGGTCTGAGGTGGAGATCCAGCCTTGAGGATGGGTCTTACGTTTTCTTCCGGCTTGGGGACTGAAGCCTTGACCTTATAGACCCAATTTTATTTTACTAATTTTTATTAAATAATTCTGGGTAATTATCATCAATAATTATCCAGTGGCATCGCGAATAAAATTTAACACCCCAAAACGTAGCATTTTTAATGTCATCCCTTTTTTGGAAATAAGACATGCCACCCTCTTGCCATTATTTTTCCATTTATCGTGTTATTTAAACTTCAATGAACTTTCTCTTCACTGTTATAGATATGTCTAAGAAAATTTTAATAATTTTTATTAAGTATTTACTATTAAGTGGTATCCATCCAGCATCCAAGACCAGGATACTCAATCATGGAGCACATCTTCAATTTGTTTAGCAGTAAAACTGACTGGTAAAAGAACATCATTAAGTCTATGCATTCTTAGCAGACTTTAAAGCAGTGTTTGATTAATTAGAGCATGATTTTTTAAGTTCGCTAATTTTGGGTTGTCCCATCAATTTTCAAGTATGTTTAAAAGTTTATATTATAAGACTACTATGACAAGGTATCATAAAGGAGGACAAGCTAGTTTTTTTGGACCATCTGTTGAATTATGACATGATTTTATGCTAAGCCCATTACTGTTTGTGTTGTTCCTAAACTTTTTATATAAAAGTCATGAACATATGGACAACGTAATATTTCTATCCCTTCTTCGATAAAATTATAGCAAATGATTAACTGCCTGGAGAGTCGCTACCCTATCTGGAACCTACAGATAAACCTCATACAATCAAGAATAATAAGAATTTTCCCAATGGAGACAGACTATCCAAATTTGTGAGGTGTTGCTTCAGGGGAAACCCATTTGAAATGTTGAACAAATATAAATAAATTGGTGTAATAATTATCCCAAGATTGGCTTTAGGACATTATTTGTCAAGATGAATCAATCATGCAAAGTTTGGTCTGAATTGTGCTTGGTATAATTTCATGACAATCCAAAATTGGTTATCAAAAATTAAAAAAATTTGGCCTGTACCTGTCAGTCTCTGAGGTGCTGGTCAATTATTCTGAGCTGGCTTGGGGTTTTGGAAAAATTCCAAAAATATTTTATTAAAAAATTTTTACTTCTACTGAGATGTGCACCTAATTACATCACAGCTTATGAAATAGGTATTGCCTCTGTATACAGTTACAAAGTAAAAATAGATTTTGATGATATTTTGAAAGTTCTGGAGATGCCTAGTTTCCTTTTTCCCAACATTCTAGCAGAAGAAGTGACAAAAAATAAATTTTATTGATCCTAGAAGTGGTAAAAATTCAAAGAATAAAATTAAGCTCAATAATTCAAAAGTTGATACTTCTGTTGTAAATCTGTGCATAAGTTGACCATAGTTAAACATACAGTTGAGAATTCAGAAAAACAAAGAAATCTTGCAAAGTATTGTTTTACCAGAGATAAGAGATAATTATTTTGGTCAGCCCACCTGTTCTCTGAAATAATTTATTATTCTAGTATTAAACTAAATTATTTAGTTTATCAAAAGATGATATGTGGAAAACCCTAAGTAATTATATTATATCTCACCTACTCAGTTTGTAAAGGATCAATGAAACATTTTATTTATTTATAATAGCATATACCTAACATAGTTAGATATTTACTACTTGTTTTAAATTGTTTACTTGTTACGTTTTACAAACTATTAATGTTTATTTTTAAAAGTTGTAATCTAGTAATTGAGATAGATAAAAAAAATGTTAGAAAATAAAATACATTATAATGTAAAGATATTATTGCTCATATATTTTATTTAAAAGATAAAATAAAACACATTTTTAGGAATAACATACAAAACACTACTGACAGAATTTTCCATTGTCTATGTCTTGTAGGATATTTATATATTTTATATTGTGTATCTTATTAAAACCTGCATGTGTATATATACACTGAGATATGTCTAAACTAAATATAAAGGTTTTCATCACCATATCCACCTCATTATTTCCTCCTTTTCTTTCTTACCTGATTTAACATCTAAAAGAATGTGAATTAAACTCATCTCCTCTGACTAGATTTCTTTTTTTTATGTGTTTTTTGGGGGGCTTTCAGATTTTAATCAAAATTCTATTTAGTCATAGTTTTCCGTAATATCTTAGATCTTATTAAAATAATCTTGAGTATTTGTATGTCAAACTCGAGGGAATATTTAAAAAATATCATTCATTCCCTTTCAGAAAGCATCTCTGTTTACCTTCTAATAGAAACTTATCAATGGTTAAATGAAAACAGAAATATATCCACCTATTGATTTATATATTTCCTGTTATAGAACTACATCCTTCAGCAAATCCCCTTCTTCATTTGTGGTACCTCTTTTTATAATTCATTACCATCTCTATTCATTAATTCTTCTCCTTATTTTCTTTCAAACAGGACTTATTCTTTCACTACTATATTATTGACCAGAGCACTTTTCTCTTTGTTTAAGTGCATGGTTATTTTGTTTTATTATTAACATATCTGTTGCTGGCTCAATAAGTCATTGTATGAATTAATTATTTATTTGATTGTTTTAGAGGAAAAAGTTCCTGTTACAATTAGCTGAAGAGTTGTCTATCTGCAGTGATTCCCCTATTAACAGAGACTGGCCTCATTGTCCTAGTAGGTTAGCTGAGACCAGCTTATTATTAAGAAGAATGCACCACAAATGGAGAGTATGTATATAATAATAATAATTCCTCAATATAAAAATAATTAATATAAGTCAGATAATTTATATTCATATGTTTACTTAAATGCTTTTATGTTTATAGTGTCACAAATATAGAATGAAATTCGATCAAACTGCCAGAAATAGGATGAGAGAGAAAGTGACTGCTAGTCTTATATTTAAAGATAGAAAAAGTTCTTATCCCAGGAGGTAAATCGACAGTTTGCTAATCAATTATTGATAACAATTTTTTAAAATAAAATATGGAGACGTTAATATTGAAAGAAATATTTGTCTGAATCTTTTTAACACGTTAGCTGTTGAGCATGATATCTCTTAAATGTCTTTCCTGATAATATCAGTCCCTGGCTATTAACACTAGTTATAAAGTTCCTAACAGCATCGCACGTTGGAGACATACATCAGTTTCGAGCTATACTGCTATTTTTTGCCAAAAAAGGTGAACTAAATGCCCTATTCAATGTCGATCTGTTGATTGTGTCCTTAATAACCAGCAATTGTAGAAGTGGACTTAGACATTTTTTTTTTATTATTTCTCTTTATTTGATTAAAAAAAGTGTTATTTTTAGGGATATAAATCTTAAATATTGAAAATGAAATGAGAAAAAGTTTATTTATTGCATATAAATATAATTTTTATGATATAATTTATAGATTATTTGGTAATACTTTTTCAATGTCGAGATAAAAATGGAATATAAAAAATCAAAGTTAAATAATAAGTACCATATTGTGTCAATCCAAGAAAAATATAGGTATTTGGGTTACATTTGATCACTATTACATTGGAATTTATTTTAAGAAAAGGAAAAATGGAAGTGAAGTATTAAATTGCTAACTGCTTGTGATACCAGTTACTGTTTACCAGTGCGGCAAACAGAATCCAGGCATGCCATCAAAGTCCTCACAGAAACTAGTGACTTTCCTTGTTTTTTTTATTTTCTTCCTTACTTCCTAGGGTCTTTTCCAGTTCTCTGTAGTACTCTCTGCTCTGATTTCTTCCCTCACCAGAAGGCTTAATAAAATGTACACGATGCATCAGACTTGGTGACAGTGGTAGGCACTGAGTTGTGATTTCATGAGCGAGAACTGATCGGAACCTTGTAAGTGATATGAGTTTTTATTTTTTCATGTTAAAGATGATCCAAGAATTGACCACCAATGGTCTAAACATCTACTCGATCACCATGCATGTGCACTGTCCACTCACAGCAGGAATAGGTATCGGTCGCCGGGGATGATACCATAGGGAAATCATTTTTTATCAGTCTGGTATGGTATCGGTTTCCAGGTGTCCTAAAGCTTTATATCAGATATAATGATTATTTGAGTTTGTATTTTTACATCTATGCAAGTCCCATTAAAATATTTTTAAAATTTATCATTTTAGAGACTTCGTAAGATAGCCAAAATTCAAAATAATTCTGGCCACTTGGCAGTCAAGGCGAATATCGCAACCCGGGGACCGCAGCTAACGTGTTAATCTATTATTTGTAGCTCCATAAAGACTTAAATACATACATTCAGATTGATATAGATTCATTTATAAATTTCATTTTTCTATTTCTTTATAGTGTTTCCCACCCTTTTTTGGGTGACTATGTAAGATTGAGGCAAAATGTGCAGTGGAAGAAAATATGTATCGAAACTAATGATCAGTACGTTGTATTTGCTGATATAATAAATAAAATCACTCGTTCAAGTGGAAAGGTGTGCATTATATAATAAAATAGTACATTCAATATATAGTCTTCTTTTTTTAAATTGATTTTTATTCTTAGTTTGCTCCAATACTATTTGTGCTTTCTACGAGTGCTATGCTAATATTGGACCAAAGGACTCTTCAAATAAAATATCGTGTACCTGCTGCTGAAATCTATAGGCTTTCTCTATCTCCATACATAGACGATGTTGCAGTGTTTCATGTGAGAGCGGTAAGGCCTAATTCATATATCTTTAAAACACTATTTTTTAAAATTATAATTTAATAAAAAATTACTTGTTCTCATAATGAGGCAGTCCTTTTCTTAAAGATAACTCATTTAAAAATGTGGATTTATTATTAATAAATAATGATTTATTTTTGAGCTTTTTATTGTAGTAATTTCATAAATTTAATATTTGATGGAACTGATCATGTTAATTTTTTGTTAAAATTAGTTGATTATTCATTCTAAATAATATGGTTAACAGAAATTTGATAATAATAATTGTATAATATTGTCATACATGATATAATACTAAAATATTTTGTTACCATGAATTGTAGTGTATACATGCAGGCTATGATTAATTTTATTCCTACATACTAATTTTTTTTTTATAAAATTATTCGAATCAATTTATTTATCCAGAATCAAGGAAATGTGTTCAATTAATTTTAAAATGCATTAAATATGAAAGTTTATTGTTTAATTTAATTACAAAAACAAAATACTTACTTGTGGAAGATCAGACTATAATTCAGGTAACCTACTCTATTTGGTAATTTATTTTGTGTATTTAAAATACAAAATAGAATACATTTTTTGTACTTCAGTATCTTGGAAATAAAATGCAAATACTTTTTGTATATTTTAAAAAGAAAATACAGTTACAAACAATTTATTTTATTTCTTAAAATGCAAAATACAAAAATGTATTATATTTCGTATTTTAAAACATATTATTTGAAATACTATACTGTCCAGGTCTTATAAAATATACGTTACACCCAAATAGAATAACTTTTTTTTCAACTATTCATTTCCTTCAAAGACCAGAGTTGGGCATTAGTTAGCTAATTGTTTAACTAAATAAATTTTAGTTAAATATCTAGTCACAGATAAATTAGTTGTGATTAAAAAGTAAATAATTTTATTATTAGTTATTGTTTTGTAACTGATCTCATAACAATGAAATCAGTTACAGTTGTGATTGACAACTAACTTTTTTATTTGTGAAAAATAAACTGGTGCTGACCAATGAAAACTAATCAATTTTTATTTTTAGTTGTCAAAAAAAAGTAACAATTAATATCTTGTATGTTAAAACTTTTTCATTGTTCAATTAATCCATAATTATTAAGATGAATAATTTTTTTAATAATATAGAGTCCATTCTCAGCTTATCAAAGATGTAGTTTTCGAAAATACTATTGATTTTAAGATAATGCAATCTCTTAACAAGTTGTTTCATCATTTTAATTATATTGGATCGTAGTTTTTGAAAATACTATAGATTATATATTTTTAAAAAATATTAATTATTAATGTTTATTCGACAACTATGAATAAAACTGATGTCATAGTTCCCATTGCAACTGATTTTTATGAGTAAAAAAAACCAATGAACTACTCATTTCAACTGACTAATTTAATTACAGAAATTAGTGGTCTGCCAATAAATAAAACTAATGGTATACTTATGTGTTTAACAGAATTGAACTATGTTGTAGTATTTAACTATTACTTGCAATTAATTTTTGCCCAGCTCTATCTAAGACTGATGTTACCATTTATTTAGACCAGCCCAAGCTGCGAATCTGGTAGTGAAGGAGGACCGGGCTGCTTGTTTCAAAGCGAAATGGCGATAAAAAAAGGAGATTTTGTCTTCCAAACTGGTCATGTTATCGAAATAGTTACAAAGCTGTTTCTCGTTATACAAAATGCAGTTGGGAAACCTCCACAGGTCAACATCACAACTGAGTAAGAATAAAGTTTATTAATTTACATGATTTTCCATTCAAAGCTATTGATTTTTATAATTGAACAAATTCAGAACAAAGGATCCAGGTGCTAAAAAAAGGGTTAAAGAATTTTTTTTTTTGCACATGGATCGAAATACAATTCCTAATTCAGTGGATTCTGATGAAAGTCCACAAACAATTTTTTTTAGTATAGTTCAAAAGTAAGACAATAGCTGTGTGCTGGCAATTTACAACTATATTCCATTTCCCTCAAACCAATTTAAAATCCCAAATTATCATTATTACATCAATATTTTAAGGAGAAACTCTTAATAAATATAATGATATATTAATAATATTAAATAATGTTATCTGAAAATAAAAATAAAAACCACTGTGAAATGAAATTTTTAAGTTAATTTTAAAGATAGTTTATTTACAAACAAAGAACTGGTTGGCGAACTGTATACAAATGGTTGGGTTACCCTGGCAATAAGCCAGCCATGTTAAGCAGGTTTAGGCCTTTTGGATTAAATTGGGACATAACACTTATAGCCAGAACAGGGTGTGTGGTTTCCATTGATACACATCACGAGGTATACCATATTAATACTATGAGTTTTTGGTTTATATTCTTGTTTTAACAATACTCAAACTTATTTTAGATTACTGGAATTATTAATTTGAATTTATTTTTAGGCAAAATTCAATTAATACCTGTTGAAAATCTTAATATAATATCAATTTTGAGTATTAAAATGTACAATCTATTTCATGATATTTAAATTATTGGAATTAAACATTAACTTTTACTAATATTTATTAATTTAAAGTATGTAGGTATGTGTGTGCATATATATATATATATATATATATATACACACAAATATACATGTGCTGATAACATAAATTTTGGTTTAACTCTTTGATCAGATGTGAACAAATATTTTTAGTTTTTAGTTTTTGTCATGCCATTTTTCTTTTTCCTAGAAAATTCAAGTAAAATCTATAATACATACAGACAATCATTTTTATCATAATTATATAAAAATATTGATGAACATATTTAATTTTTTTTTCCAAAAATATTAATTTTTTGTTATATTTTTAACACTTTAATAACCGTGGGCTCATACATGATTCAAGAGGAAATCTGAACAGGGGAAAGTTGTACTCATATATGAGTTGAGACCATCGAAATCGGGCCAGGCAATGGTGGACTCATATATGAGTCGAGCGAAATATATTGTCGAGCTTTTTTTTCTTTAATTGACAGGGTGATCAGTGATGAATTATATTTTCTATTCTATTTCAGAGAGAACATGAGAGAAACATAAAACAGATTTGTTTTTAGTTTTTAGACAAAAACTAATTGTATAAAATGTAAACATCTAAAAGTTCATATTTTATAAAAAAGAATTGTAAGGAAAGTCGTGTTGTAAAAATTTCAAGTGTATAAAAGTTATATAAAAAAAAAACAAAATAAAAAATTTTGGAATGGTGCCATAAATAAAAAGGCTGTAGTGGCGAATAGAGGTGAAGAAAGGTATTCCATCACAGAGGCTTGGAGAGCTATCAGCTATCGCCATCTGCAAGGCCACTTCACCCTTCAGGCTCATCGTAAAAAAAAAATAAGAAACAAGAATATCTAAATCATGCAAATATGCCAGTAAATAAAATGCGTTAAAATTCAAATCTTTGAAAAATACTGGCATACGTTGGTATATTTCAAATTAAAATCATTATTAAAAACAATAAATTAAAACAGATAGTTTAAGGTGTACATTTTGAATGCAAATGTTCATTTTCATATTCATAAAAATTGTGAATATTATCTTATTTTTTTTTTATTGTTTATAAATTTACTTGTGTCAACTTTTCTCCAATGTTAAAAAAAAAAGTATTATTGTAGGAAAAGTATAATTTATTTGTAAGTTACCAAAGGCAGCAACGTTTATAATAATAACTTACTAAAATTTACAGTTTTCTGTTTTCTCTAATAGTTCAAATTAATAATTTTTCTGTCATTCTTAAGTTATAAATTAGTAAATATATTCTTTCCTATTTATCAGATTTGAAGCAAACTTTGGTCATCAGACTGTTATGGTTGCCTTCAAGTGCTTGGGCCTCCCAGAAGTTCAGCCAGGTCAGATTAGGGTTGTCAGAAAAAGTGGTAAAATGGAGATACTATTATGATCACTGGCAGGTGCCCTCCGCTGGGTATATGTGATATGTTGTGGCCTTAAAGCAGGTAAATCAGTGTCAGTATATCATAAATCTCATTTATAATACTCTCTTGAATTTCATTTTATTTTTTCCTTAAGGCTGAACCATAGAGAAAAAATAAGCCATGATTTTTTCTAGTTTTATTTAACATATTTCCTTATTATATTTTTTGTTATGATGAAAATGAAGAAGCCATGTTTTCAATAGGTTTCATTGACTTTTTTTATTAGGTTTTTAAACCTGAAGTAAATCAGATTTTTCAATGTAAGATATATTTTTTAGTTAGAATTAACATCCATAAATTAAATTATTGTTTAATCATTGTTGAAGATTTAACATTAATTTAAATTTGAAATAATATTTAACAATTAGAACTGAATAAATATGAAATATATTTAATATTGCAATATTAAATATAATAGAGAAATCTAAATTCTCATCAGGGTAATTGACTTAAGTTGATCAGAAAATTATGAAGTAAGGGCATTTGGTCGTTATGATCACGAATAAGTTTTTTTTTGTGTGCGTGTGTTATCAGTAAGTGGTACCCATTGTTTCATCAGTTTATCTATCTACTGACCCTGTGGGCATCAAATTAAAATCAATTTTTCATATATTCATATATATATATATAATTTAATGTTTAAGTTTTATTTGTTTTAGTGTCTGATTTAGATTACATCATTTCAATACAATTTTAGGTATGACACTTATATTTAATTTGAGATTCATTGCTGTGAAGATTTTTTACATAAATTGGAGTTTCTAATATTTTTTTATTTTATTATCAGTTGTTTATTTTGATCTCAGAACAAGCATTATCAAATCTCAAATATCCCAATTATTTTGCTTACTAGTAAACGATATGAATTATTTATGAAAATTATGAATATATATGTACATACACATATATTTTTTTTTTTATTTACCTCTTGGCCAATAGTATTTTTAAATAATTAGTTAAATAATTAATTACTAAGTTTAGTTTTCTGCACTGTTCAGAGATTAGATAAAAATCTTAGTGCAACAACTGTGTTAGATCAAAGTTTGACTACAAAATCCTCTGTTTTCTGATTATTATTTATCCATTAACTATTAACTACAAGATAAAAGGTTACACCACTTTTATATAATACTTTAGGAACTCAGCAATTAAAATTATTTTATTTTTTTTTAGAAAATTGGGTAGTTAGATCCTTTGAAGAAGTTTAATAACAAATAATTCATTCATATAACTTATTTGAATTAATGTATCATCAAAGTCTCTTTACTTTTAACAATAAAAGTATTTTTAAAGAAAACCAACAACTTTGTTTATTTCATCTTCCTTATTTAATTCGCGAAAATTAAAAAAAAAATAGTCTTGTTCATTGGACAAATTCGTGACATCAAATAAGTAGCTAAGATGAATTTTAGTGATCAAAAGTTATGTTCAGGCCATAGTATTGTACAATTACCTTATTTAACAGGTGAGTAAAATATCAATCATTTCAATAATAAGGTGAAAATAGTTTAGACTTTGTTTGCTTTATGATAGTCTGATTTATTACATTAATCTGTAGTTTTGTTAGATTATATTGCAAATAAGTTATATAGAAGATAGTTATTAACTGAAATGTTAATGAAATATTAATGGCTGATTTCTTAATTGAAAATTCTTGTGATGTATTTCTAATATTAATTATTAAGTAATGAAAATTTTCACCAAAAAAACACAAATTTAAATAGTACATCTTATTTATTTTATTTTTTTGTTTGTTCTAGCTTGGGGAACATCAATACTGTTTTTTTAGCTGAAATTTAATTTATAGAAAACTATAAATTGCTTGGACTGAACCTTAACAGTGCCAGAATATTTTTATTATGAAACTTGTGGCCTAGCTGTCCTAGCACTTTAAAACTTCAGGCCTTAGTTTGAAATGTGATCATTTGGTAACTTTGTTTATAAATGAGTTTAAAGCCCTCATGCAGTTTTTATTTTAAAGATGAATTATAACTCATGTCATTTGATATTTTATTTTATATATTGATCTTTAAACCTTAATAAACAATTTTCCTTATACCTAACAACTTCTCTATATATTTCATGTAAATGCTATCTAATTTTTGGAATATATAGGAATTTATATTTATTTGTAGATAATTTATTATAGTGAAGGCAGCCTATTTCTTCCGGTAAAATGGAATGTACACAGGATGATTATAGATATTTGTTTAAGTTGCTCGGTTTAGTTACTATTGTTAGTATTTTGTTGTACCTAACTGTTTACGCTGCCTATAAATATTGTCATTAAGTAAATTCGTTATTTTTCATATATTTTAAATTATTTTCCATTCGAAATTCCAGAACATGTTTATACTAATCAGAAAAAATATATAAAAAATAATTTAACTGCATTCATGTATTTTTGTTATAAATTAATCTAAGATAATATAAGTAAATGACCAATTGATAAAATTAGTAAGTATGAAATAAATAATTTATTATATAATTTATAAAACAATGTGAATAATTTTTTTTTATTATAAGATTTAGTTATAAACACAGTTCTGGGACCAAATATCTGTTTGAAAAATACTACTCATACATACTAAACAACAAATGTACAAAATCTAAACTTCTTTTTTGTTTTTATTAGTGCAATAAGTTAAGAAGAGGGCTTGAAAAGTTTAATGTAAATACATTATTTTAAAATTTATTATCAGTTATTATTCTTTATTTATTTTTTTACTACAGAAGTCTAATGACCAGTAATAACAGTAAAAATAAAATGGAAGTTTTTATTAGCATTTTCAAGTTGTTTTGAATTACCTATATTTATAAGATGTGAATAAACTGGTTATTGTATATAAGAAAATTGTTAAGAATTCTTTGTAAATAATGTTGACCGTTCCCATTTAAATATAGTGATATAATTTCTTAATACTATATAGTTAAACATATCGTACATATGATTAACACATTGTTAATGTATTCTTTCTGAAAATGTAACTGTACAAATATTGGTAGAGTTTATGTACATATAAATAAATATTAATGATTGGTGTATCGAGACTGCCATATAACTGAATACTATTCTTGAAGCAACCTTCAATTTATTACTCGATGCATGAAATGTGAATAAAATGTATACTGTTGTTGAGAATATTCTAGTTTAAAGAAACTGGAGAAATTTAGGCAATTGAATAGAAATCGTCAATTAAATAATATTATCCATAAGTATGTTCTCAGGTGTAGATATATTAATTTAAAAATAACTTAAAAAGTATTGTTAATTTGTAACCAATTATTTTTACTGTATTTCTTGTTATTATAGAATTAGATTGAATTTTCTAAAAAATAAAATTTTCTAATTCGATGTAGGTCAGTTCTAGTGGCCTTTGTAAATAACTGTAAATTAGCCTTAAAATTCTTTGTGATTGTTATAAATAGAATATAAAGTTTATAAGTGTAATTAGGATTAAAATATGTACCTTAATCAATAAAGGTATTCGTTAAAGAAGGATTTATTTATTAATTTCTCTATTTGATTTTCACTCTGACAGTTTCCTTTTAAAGGACAGCTGCAGACTCATTAATTATCATGTAGTGTCCTCATGTTTGTAACTCAGTTATATCTGCATATTTAATTTTTTAATCACCATAAAAATAAAATTTTAATTCAAAGATAATCTAGTTCAATGATAAAGTGTATTGAGTTTTAACACATAATTTCCATTTCATTAAAATTACTTTGCTCACTCTGTCCCTCCTCTAAATGAATAAATTAATGTCTTAAAAAATTTAATTTTGTGTCCTCTTGATCATCCTCCCCATAATAAAATAAATGCAGATTATTCTAAGCAATATTGAAATGAGAGTATCCTACATTAAAATTTTCATTGCTTAAATGTTTAGTGAACTGATAGAAAATTAATAAAAAAAATACAATAAAATAAATGTTCAATCATAATTTTAATTAATTTATAATTACAATCAATGTTCAAGATAATTTTACTGCTATAATTTATTCTTCTTGTTGAATTTGAAAACTACAATTTGATATCATATCTACAAATTAAGTGATTTTGTCATTTCATAATTAGAGTAAATTTATTACTGAACATTGACTTATTAACCACAATATTTAACATAAAAAATTTTATTGTTCTTAAAACTTGATATTATTATATTTTGGATGATTAACGAAAGTCTTTAATTTATCAGTAATCTTACGCCAGGATTTCATACAATTGCATTTTTTTTCAAGTATTTATTGTAAAATATTTTTTAACTAATGCATTTAAATGGAACTAAACCCATTTATGGTTTCAAAAGTTGTGGATATTCGTACATATTTGAATATTTTGATGAAAATTTCTATTGCTTTTTTTTTTTTATATATAAATAATTTAAAATTAAGGGTGACAATATACGAAGAAAAGACAGTTTTAACCCCAAAGGACATCTAGTAACAAAAAAAAAAAAGATGAATGCATGAATGGATTGATAATTTTCTGCAGGTTATCAAATAACAAGGTTTGAAGGTTTGTTTACATTAGTTCTCCACTCTATCCAGTTTTAAGTTTTACCCTTTAATATTTTTTTTTTTTGTAACTTATTTATTTTTCCTGTCCATATGGTATGGATGTTTATCATATAACTCTAATAACTACTGGCCTTAAGTGTGACATAATGTATTATTTCTCAATCATAACAGTTGAAAACTAAATCTACAAGTTATTTCTGCGATTTTTTATTTGTTTTCTTTAGAAAACTAAATCTATAAGTTATTTCTGTGATTTAATTTGTTTACTTTATTAATGAAGCTCTTGATTTTACTTTATTAATAAAGAGGGACTATTGAATTCAATGGAACATAGTATCGATTATTTTCTTTTAAATTTTTCTGCTTTTTTTAAAGGAAAATTTTTCTTAGATTCTTTATAGCTAAATCTATTTTTGTTTCCAACTTTTTTTAAAAACTGGATAATGTTAATTTCACATTTATGTTTTCTTATGTAAAAAAAAAAAAATAATTTTCTTCCTTACCTTTAATACACTTTTTTTTTTGTTATTTCTGTAGTATTTTAACTAACAATTAATTACTGTTATTTATTTTTCTGGTAAAGCTTTTCAAATAAATGAAAAACCACAAGGAAGTTTAAACACTTAAAAAACAACTTTCACTCCTAAAATTGTTATCATAAAGATAATATAGTTATCTCCATTGCATCACTATTGGTAAATAAATTCATAAGTTAATAATCTTAATCTAATTTGTGAATAACTGGTGATCATAAGTGAACTGGTGATGGCAACTATTAAATTTAATATCAGAAAAGCCGTAAAGGAGGACTGTGAAGAAATATTTCGCCTTGTTAAAGTAAGATTTTAACAGCAAATTTTTCTACTAATTTTATAATTTTAATAAAATTATATTGATGAATGGGAAATAAAAATTGTTAAACTCATTAATTGCGAAATATTTTTTAGGAATTAGCTGAATATGAAAAACAACCACAAGCCGTCAAAAATGATGCAAAAAGTAGGAAAATAAATTAATTATTCAAATAAAAATATTGGGACTAAATGAAAACATTTTCTTTTTTAGTAGTAATTTTATTATATATTTTTTAAGCTTTGGAACAAGATGGATTTTTGACTCAACTGCCTACATTTCAATGCTTAGTTGTTGATGATCCAAGTCATGATGGTATAACTAATTGATTTATCTGATGTAAAACTATTGTATTTAACATGAAAACTTGTTTCCCAATATAAGTTTGCATTACATTTAATAGGTGCGAAACCTAAGCTCATTGCTTATGCTATGTATTGTTTAATATATTGTTCTAAATCAGGCAAAAGATTTGATTTCCGAGATATATATATATCTAGCAAATACAGAAGCCATGGTGTTGGAAAACAACTTTTATCAGCTGTATGCAAGGTGACATATTCGTTATTTTGTGGAATTTATTGTTACATGTAAGTTCCTCAGTAATGAAATTTTTTTTCTATTTTGGTATAGGAGGCAGTAAAAGAGAATGTAGTAAAGATGAATTTGATAGTTCTGAAATGGAATCCGGCTAATAGCTTTTACAAAAAGTTAGGAATGGTCAACATAACAGATACAGAAGGATGGCAGTGTCATTTAATGAAACGAAATGACATTGAAAGAATCGCTAATTCAGAAAGTTAATTACTTTAATAGTTTGGAAATATTATAATAAATATCAATTATGCCTGTCAATTGCTTCATTCTTTAAAGTGAATAACTTAGTGGAGGAAAACATTATAATTTATACTGTAGGCTCAAAATCATCATTTCTTTTTTTTTTTTACTTTTGATTTAATCATTTCAATGTGAGCGAATACCGTTGCAATTAGGAGATGTCTATTAAGTTCCCAGAATCACGAAACTCGCAATCACTACTTCATAGATAAAATTTTCATACCCTAATATGTCATTTTCTCTTAAAGTTGAGGGAACAGTTCCGTAAGTTTGTATTCTTTCAATTAAAAAACTGGTTTGCAAACTAAAAAAAATATTAATTGTCTTTAATTACATCCAAACTGGTGTTTGTGTACGCCAAGCTCGTAAAAAGAGAGATATGTTTATGTAATCATATTATGTTTTTCTTTTAACTATCTTTGATGAATCTGCATACTTGATTTGAGACAGTTTTAAAAAACCATGGTTGGGATACCTCTGGAACCCAATTGAATATACAATTGTAATCTAAATTTGTAGAATTTTAGGTAAAATTTTATTTACTTACAATGTTTAAATCAATTAAATAAACAATGTGAAATCATCATTTGTGACCATAATAGTAAAATATAATAAAAATATTTTTATGGCTGTCAGGAACATTGTGTAATACAATCCAGTTATTTTTAATTTAGAAAATTCTAAATATTGAATTATTATTATTAAATTTTGTCTAGCTTATACCCTACTCAGTATAAACAGTATTGAAAATAATTAGTTTTATGACTATTATTTATTGATAGAAGTATTTGTGGTCTTGGCCATAGAGGAAGAAAATCTTTTCTGTGACTCAGGTGGCACATATTCCAATAAAAATAACTCCTATTGAAAGTACTATTATTGTTCTCTCACAAGAATGCTAAAATGACAATTTAAGATAATCAGCCGCCACAGCCTCAAAATAACATTTACTTTATACCTGACGACAATATTTATCTCTTACGAACTGCTACTCTACAAAAAGTCAGTTTGGCGTAGGAGTAATAAAACTATTCCCTTTTTGCATAAAGGGGTTCAATTGTAATATACAATATAAAAAAATACTTTATTTCTTATAACAGGTTAGAAATGTCAGCGAACAAATTAAATATCAGAAAAGCTACAAAGAACGATTGTGAAGAAATATTTAGATTAATAAAGGTAATTATTTAGTATATTTCTATTCATTTGTTGACAAATAAAAAAAAATGACAAACATATTAAAGCAATAAACAAAACTAATTAATTTTCTTTTCTTTTTTTATTTCAAGGAGCTAGCTATTCATGAAAAGTCACCAAATGCCGTTAAAGTAAATACAGAAAGTAAGAAAATAAGTTTTATAATATAATGAATTATGATTATATTTTGTGTTTGACATGACATAAATATAAGTTCAACAATTAATCAAGTACTTATTTCTCATGAGAGATAAATTACTTTTATTGTATGACCAATATTATTCCTGAACGAAAATGTAATACACATAAACTTCATATTAAATTTTGAAGGCAGTTAAACATAATTGATCAATAGAGCTTAAAAAAAATTTTTTAATTATAATTTTTGCAAAAAAATTTTAATTATTTATTTTTATTTTTATATCCTTTCTGATTAACTGATGTACTGTTTATGAACAGTTTAGATTACAGTATATTGGCTTTATTTCACAAAGAAATATTTATCAAATAATTACTTTAGAATAATTGGACTTTTTTTAAAGTGAAAACTTCTTTAGGCGCGTTATGCACTTTTTTTTGTGGAGAGTGAATTAGATTGAGCTGTCAGATTCCAATGTGTATGTGTGTAACACTTACAGTAAAAACTGGTGAAGTTAATAAAATATAATTTTTCAGTATTGGAGAGAGATGGGTTTGAATCAGAAAACCCTCCTTTCATGTGTATGGTAATTGACGAACCAGACAGCAAAGGTGAGTTGAATAAATTTCTTATTTCTTGGATATTTTAATTACAGAGGCTACTGATATCGAAAATAATGATCTTCAAATTTTGATTTGATTTCTTGATTTATAGTAATTTTATATTTTATTGTTATTCTCACTTTCTATATTTTAAAATACTGTGCTTTTATCTCCTTCCTCATTATTTCTTTGTCATTCAAATACATTATGTCACTGTGTTTTATAATCGACAGCTATTGAGGATGTGTCTAACATAACTAAATATACGTCCATTTTTTAAAAAATAATTCGGGAAAATTCTGGAATATTGAAAAACCAAGCAAATAATCAAAAGGATTTTTTTTAATTTTTTTAGATTCTCCAGCAAGTTAGTACATTGTTCATTTCTAAATTTCTTAAAAAATCTAAATGTTACAATATGAAATATTATTTGGAGTAACATTTATCTATTTTTATGATAAACAGGAAATGGTTCTCGTTATTCAAGGTTTATGCATTATTCACCTATAAAAATGATCTCACTTTAGGTATTTTAGCAACAAATAAAAGTATGACTCCTATGTGATGGTATTAATAATTATAAGCTGTTATGTTATCTTTATCAATAATAAGAAATTAAAACATGTGAATAGAATTTCAAAACATTTCTTATCCATTTTTTCCATAAATGTTCTTTTATTATTTTATTTATTTGTTGACATCTATGATGTTCTCTATGGTTAGCATAATTTTCGGATAGAATGGAATTTCATCTAAAACATTTCAAAATCCAGGGAGAGGAAAAGAAGGCACTTACCCCAAGGAGCAGTATTGAGAGGGTTGTAAATTTTAAGAATTTTTTTTTAGCTCATGTAAAAAACATTGCTTTCCACTTTTTGGTTTTTTAGACATTAGTTCAGTCAATGATACAAATTAATTTTGTCTGATGATATTTATTTCGAAATAAATCTACCTAAACTACTGATATAAAATATGGGTTTTTATTGAGGGGAGATGGGAGATGAAAGAAGAGCGCCTCCTGCCAAAATCTTCATTCCGGCCCTGTCAAAATCTATTGAAAATTGAATTTGGAAATCCCTAAAAGAGTGAGGGGATGACTGACTGAATGGGCTAATGCGTGTGTAAAACATCCTGTCGTTGCCGGCAACCTGATAAACTCAAGTTACATGATAAAATAATTACCAGTTCGTGTCCTGGTGCCAGATCTGGTTAAAGGCTTTTAACTCTGGTATTAATCCTCTACGTTCTTTCCCGGCCCAGGAAAAAATCCGAAAAGGTGAGGAAAGGGATCACAAAAAAAAAGAGTACTTCCAATATGAACATTCAACATTTTTGTGATTATCGCAAGATTTTTTAAAATGGAGGGTCATTTTGGAATTCCATAACTTATATAGAGAATTTAATTATAATTGCTAATTTTGTTGATTATTATTTATTTTGAAGAGAAGAATAGTTGGGGTGATCAGTCGAATAAGAAGGCAAAAATAAATGATAATATTTATTTTGACATTTGCCGACGTTTCGACCTGAAGTTCGGGCCTTCATCAGGGCTAAGAAAAGAACCAGATAACAACTTTACTTTAATTTTTTATTAATAACTTTACTTTAATTTTTTACCTTATGTTTCTCATACCTTTTTATCTGGTTCTTTTCTTAGCCCTGATGAAGGCCTGAACTTCATGTTGAAACGTCGGCAAGGGTCAAAATAAATATTATCATTAATTTTTGTCTTCTTATTTGACTGATCACCCCAACTATTCTTCTCTCCATTATTCACGACAGTGAACCATTTACCTACAATTATTATTTATTTTATATTATATGCATGCTTCTGCTGTATTATTGGACTATATTTATATTTTAACCTTCTTCTTTTTCATATCAGAAAAAAATCCTAAACTGTTGGCTTATACATTGTACAGCAGATCATACAGTTCCTATGAAGGAAAAAGATTTGTTTTGGGGGATATATTCATATCTGCACCTTATAGAGGCCAAGGACTGGGAAAGAAACTAATGTCAGCAGTCTGTAAGGTATTTTCATTTTAATAAATTTGTTGATGCTCTGTAGTTCCATATTGTATTCCTAGTCGATTGAGGAGAAACATGATGTCCAATTTCATAGTAATTGTCTGTATTTCCAGAGTGATGCTTTGCTGAAACCCCTTAGGCTCGAGATGCTAGATTTATAATATTCTTATTCTTTCAAACCTTAATCTAACAATGCCACAAAATTTAGTAAATTTAAAACCCACTTTAGAAGCATTTTTATTAGTATATATGTAAGTGTCTAATAAATATCATCAGACAGAATTAATTTGTGTCATTGACTGAATTAATGTTTAAGAAAACATTCTCTTTATAGATTGAATTGACTAAGTAATGATAGATAGTCCCCTCTAAATTGAAGTAAAAACTATAATTAATGTTAATAGTCCTCAATTTTTCATACTAATATATTTATATTTATTTATCTAAAAAAATAATTAAATGACAATTCTATACTCAATCTTCTATAATGCTCCTTTACTGGTGAAATAATTTGATCACTGTCAAAGTCAAATAATTTGTATTATTTCAAATTACATTTCATTGTTTTACAGTTCACTACTTTAAATTTTACAACTAATCAAACATTATAATTATTCACCATTCACTGATCAAAATTATATATAGAGAATAATGGTCCTCCGCAATAAAAAAGGGATGAGGCCACGGGCGAATCCACGGAGGGGGAGGGGGGAGGCTTTCGGGCTGAAGCCTCCCCCCCCAAAATGGAAAAATATAACCATGTTTTATGGGGAAAAAATTTAAAAAATACCTCTTAAAGTAATATGGTTCGTGTAATTACATTTAAAAGTACTTAAGGAATAACTTAAACACCATTTCATATAGGTAGTTAGTTTCTTTTTGTTTTTCCAAAGTAATTATCATTATTTTTATGAAAAAAAAGGTTTCGGGCTGAAGCCTCCCCCCAAAATTAAATCCTGGATCCACTAGTGGATGAGGCAGACATAAAGGTAGCCTGAGTAGTTAGAAGTTAAAGAACAAAAGTGAAGTCCTATGTCCTCTATCGGCGTTGAAGGACACTGCAGCTTCTATAAACAGCCTACAGATAGAGATAGTGTAAAAACTGATATAGTAGTGAGGAGGAGTGAAGCGCAAAACAAACACAACTGATATCACGCCGTATATCATCAGTAGCACCCTAGGCATTGAAACCAGTCCCGGACTGCCGGTTCGCAGCAGCGAAAGGGCTAGGAAATTTTTATTTTGTATTAGGAGAGTAGGAGCTCAAAGGAGCTTAAATAGTATGGTTCCTTAGAGGCACGCTAGTGCTGCTCTCCTCTGGCGTAAACGAAAACTACGATTGTTCTAATAATGACCGCAAGGGCCAGCCCTTTTTTTTTTTTTTTTTTTTCCTCTTTATTTTTTAATTCACAACTGTCAATGTCCACTCACAACCAGTGAATGAGATAACTGTACAAATAGACTAGGAGAAAGGGCATGATAGGCATGAGGAAGAGAAAAACCCAGTGGTTTATCTTCAGTCATGTTTGAGGCTAATTAAGGAGATCTCTCATCCAACTCCTTTTCAGCCTTCTGCGGATGTTATCGGGCATGTTTTTATTGGCCATGTCTTGGATGAGTCTATTGGGGTGACCATAGAGCTTGTTGTGAAACCTTTTGTAGTAAGTTTGAATATGTTCTGTGACGGTTTGCATGTGTAAGTCTTTGTGGAGAGTTATGTTACTAACATACCAAGGTGCTTGAGTAATTGTTCTGAAGGTTTTGGCCTGGAATATTTGTAATTTCTTAATGTGAGTTTTTTTGGCAATTCCGTATATTTGTGATGCGTATGTCCAAAGTGGTTTTAGTAAGTAAGTGTAAGTGTTAAGTTTTTGTCTTAGCTTTAGTTTTGAGTGACGTCCCAGTAGGGAATATAATAGTCTAAATCGTTGATTTAGTGTCTTTCGCTTAGCAGTGATGTGTGGGCCCCATGTCATCCTTCTGTCAAATGTTAGGCCTAGGTAATTGTACTTTGTCAGATTGGGGAATATGTTCATTGTCAAGATAGACAGGAGGGCAGTTTTCGCGTCGGAGTGAAAATGTTATGTGTTGGGATTTTTTTTTATTTAGTTTTATTTTCCAAAGTTTGTACCAGTCGTGTAAGATTTGCAAGTGATTTTGTAAAGTATATGAAGCATGTGTGGGGTCATTGTGCCTTGTGATAATAGTAGTGTCATCAGCATAGGTGGCTATCAAAGTGTCACTGGAGAGGGGAATGTCATGTGTGTAAATTATGTAAAGCAGTGGTGCAAGAATTGATCCCTGGGGCACTCCGGCCAGAATTGGTTTGATAGTTGAGATTTCCGAGCCTTGTCGAACAGAGAAAAATCTATCAGAGAGGAATGATTGTAATATAAGATAGTAAGTGGAAGGAAGTATTTTCTTAAGTATATAAAGAAGTCCCTGGTGCCAGACCCTGTCAAATGCCTCAGCAACATCCAGAAATACACCAGTAGCATACATCTTTTGCTCTAGTGCTGTTGCTATGTAATCTGTGACTCTGTGTAACTGTTGAGTGGTAGAATGTAATGATCTAAATCCAAATTGATGATCGGGTAAAATTTTTTGCTCTGTTAATAATGTGTGGAGTCTGTTATACAGTAATTTTTCAAATATTTTGGCACAAGTAGGAAGTAGACTGATAGGTCTATAAGATGAAGGGGAAGAAATTTCTTTACCTGGCTTATGAATCATGGCTCATGAATACTTCCATTGAATAGGAAATTTGGCAGTCCTCAGTATAGAATTAAATATGGTAGTTAGAAACACCAGAGCTTTCCTGGGCATTTGCTGGAGCACTTCAGCATTTATTAAGTCATAACCAGGGGTTTTCTTTCTTTTCAACATTTTAATTTGGGTACTTTTCGTCTAAGGGGCCGCTACTGACTGCTATCTGCCAATGTTTATAACCTGAACACTGATAACTCCCATAAAGCACTGATAAGCCTTCTTTTACTTCATATCTTCGTATTATTGTATTAAATTCGTATTATTGAAAGTGTAAACAGATACAAAAACAAATTTAATAACAAAAAAAATACTTTTATTTGACGACACATGTATTAATGAAATAATAAAAAAAAACACTTTAAGAAGATATGTACATATAAAACATCAAAATGAAATAATAAAAAACACATTTAAAAGAACATATTTACATAGAAAAGAAAAAATATAAAACGAAATCGGTTTTATAAAAAGATAAAACATTCATCTGTTTCTCGACAAACTCCACTGCTGAGATAAAACTCTCCCCACATGATTTTTTCGTTTAGAAAAAAGACTTTCTTTTACTTCAACCACTTTGCCAGGTCCTCCAATTTTTTTTCTTGGCCTGTATAACATGTCATGGGCACAAACCTCTCTTAGACATTTGTTCCACGTTACCATAGCTCTGTTGAATAGTTTCAGCTGCTCTTTGGCCCACTTCATGCTTGTCAAGCTATGGGACCATCCATAAATCAATTTTAAAGCTGTTAAAAACGAAATCCTCGAGCCCTCCAACCATGTTCCTTTACTTATTGAAAGTTTGGTACTTTTAGTCTAGCAGGCCGGACTGAAACCTCACCTCTTATCTATCTTATCAAACGTCACGTCACATAACCTCCCTCTTCTTATCCCCTTTCAGTTATTGCATTGTTTAGTTTTCAGTTATTCCCTTATTACGTTCACTTATTAAATTGTTTACTTTTGGTGCGTTTGTGTTTATTTTTCATTATTTTTAGTTTTTGGCCCGTTTGTGTTTATTTTACTTTTTTTTTAGTTTGTGGCTCCTTTGTGTTTCTTTTCGTCATATTATGGATCTTCTTAGAATATGGAATTTGACGCCTTCAGAAGAACAGGCACTTCAATATTTTTAAAATGTTGGGGTACTTGCCGACTTGAATCGACGTGTGATCGAGGTCATCGAATGAAGTCAACCAGGAAGGCCAAATGGAGATGCTTTCGTAGGACTTATGACACAAAACTTTCGGTACTTTTCGTCTAAGGGGCCGCTACTGACTGCTATCTGCCAATGTTTATAACCTGAACACTGATAACTCCCATAAAGCACTGATAAGCCTTCTTTTACTTCATATCTTCGTATTATTGTATTAAATTCGTATTATTGAAAGTGTAAACAGATACAAAAACAAATTTAATAACAAAAAAAATACTTTTATTTGACGACACATGTATTAATGAAATAATAAAAAAAACACTTTAAGAAGATATGTACATATAAAACATCAAAATGAAATAATAAAAAACACATTTAAAAGAACATATTTACATAGAAAAGAAAAAATATAAAACGAAATCGGTTTTATAAAAAGATAAAACATTCATCTGTTTCTCGACAAACTCCACTGCTGAGATAAAACTCTCCCCACATGATTTTTTCGTTTAGAAAAAAGACTTTCTTTTACTTCAACCACTTTGCCAGGTCCTCCAATTTTTTTTCTTGGCCTGTATAACATGTCATGGGCACAAACCTCTCTTAGACATTTGTTCCACGTTACCATAGCTCTGTTGAATAGTTTCAGCTGCTCTTTGGCCCACTTCATCGTTGTCAAGCTATGGGACCATCCATAAATCAATTTTAAAGCTGTTAAAAACGAAATCCTCGAGCCCTCCAACCATGTTCCTTTCCTTATTGAAAGTTTTGTGTCATAAGTCCTACGAAAGCATCTCCATTTGGCCTTCCTGGTTGACTTCATTCGATGACCTCGATCACACGTCGATTCAAGTCGGCAAGTACCCCAACATTTTAAAAATATTGAAGTGCCTGTTCTTCTGAAGGCGTCAAATTCCATATTCTAAGAAGATCCATAATATGACGAAAAGAAACACAAAGGAGCCACAAACTAAAAAAAAAGTAAAATAAACACAAACGGGCCAAAAACTAAAAATAATGAAAAATAAACACAAACGCACCAAAAGTAAACAATTTAATAAGTGAACGTAATAAGGGAATAACTGAAAACTAAACAATGCAATAACTGAAAGGGGATAAGAAGAGGGAGGTTATGTGACGTGACGTTTGATAAGATAGATAAGAGGTGAGGTTTCAGTCCGGCCTGCTAGACTAAAAGTACCTTAATTTGTTTTGCAACCTGAGATGGGGAAAAGGAGGTGGGAGGAGGGGTTAATTGTAATGGAGTGTCCAAGGAGTTGAGTACAAGGTTATCGTGTTCAATGTTCGCTAGATTAATATGTGGAGTGAAAACTAATGAGAGGTGATTTGCAAAAAGTTCTGATTTTTCTGTGTCCGACACAGCCCAGGAGCCATCATCTTTACGAAGTGGTGCTGACACCTGCCGGTGTTTTAGCAGCTTTTTTGTGTGTCTCCACAAGCTTCCATCGTCTGTTGAAAGATTGTTGATGTATATGTCATACTTTTCTCGGTTGAATTTTTGTATTTGTCGTTTTAAATGGTTGTTTAGTCTGTTAAATGCCTGTCTATATGATGGGAGTCTGTTCGTCTGCCTAACTTTTCGAGCTCTTCTCTCAAGGGCCAGCCCTAGCGAGCTTATGATCATACCTCCTAGCTTAGCTCCTGCAAGCACCTACTCTCCTAATACAAAAATAAAATTTTCCGGGTAGAATAGAATACTACTAGGAAGTACCTGTTTGGATGGTGCTGGCATCTTGTGGCTTTAAGAAGAACTATTTTTTCTGGATTTGTACTTTCATCTTGACAGTTTTTGAAAACCAACACTGCTTTACTCTTTTTTTATTTCAATAATTAATTTAATTCACTAAATTTCTATTCCATTGCACTTTGAACATCATATTCCTTACTTTTTCTACAATTATTGTTTGATTTTTTAAAAGTTTAATAAATAATTGAAAATTAGATTATTGAAGAGCTATGGTTTTTGTTAAGAGCCTAATAAATGTTATAAAAAGTGATTGTTGACAAAAGTTAAAATAGTTTTACAATGAAAAATTGTGTGTACATTATGTGTTAAATTTAAGACTTTTTCTATTGTTCATCCTATATAACAATGAAAATATTGTGATTTGCAGGAGGCGATAAAAGAGAATGTAAAAACAATCAGGTTCAATGTGTTAAAAACTAACCCATCAATTGAATTTTATAAAAAACTTGGCATTGAAAACATAACAGAAACGGAAGGATGGCAGTACACATCGATGAAAAGCGAAATTATTGTTAAAACAGCTGAGATCTATTAGCCTCAGGTAAAAGTGATAGTATATATTTTTTTTTAATAAAAGAAAATATGAAAAAAGTATATTTCTTATGTAATAAAAATTTGTCCATTTTAAAAAATTTTTTTTTTTTTTTTTTATAGAAATGGAATAAGTGATTTGTAAGCATTTGATGGCCAAATAAGAAGTGTTACCACTCAAAAAAGAATGAATAATCACTACAGCATCAGATAGATTAAAAATACTACCTAAATAAATAAAAAACTAATACAATGAGAACTAAAATTCAAGATAACATTATTTTTCCATACTTAATTAAATATTTGTTGCATATTTGATTTAATAGTTTTCATTAACATTAATAAATAAAGTTATTAAAATATAAATTATTGTGATTACTTTATCATTTTCTATGTTTTTGTAGTTCTTAAACTCTGTTCTTCTATCCCCTAGCCATGAGTTCCACTCTGAATATGACAAATAATTATTCATCCAATTATATCAGTCAGTGAGTTTGAAATCGTTAAACCTGCCTTGGACACATTCTTAATAAAATGGGAATCCTTAGCTGGGGAAAAAGCATGAAAATTTGAGAATACTCTGGCCCATATCACCTCCTTGGACAACCATTGGCCTAGAAACAGTACTTATTTACTAAATACTGAACCCAAGATCCTTCATGGTTTATAATAGTGTATTTTTTAATTAATTGTTTATTAAGAATTTTCATATAAACAAGTGTATTCTTTATTATATTAAAAAAAAACCTATTACCTATTACCCGTTACCATTAGTTGTATATGTGTTTCAACAGTGTATGGAACCTATTTATTACCTCTTTTCATGGCTCTCTTCTTTCAATTTTTATTTCTGTAGTTTTATTGCTGTTTACTTTACAAGCAATAGTTAGTTATTCTCAAACTAATCATTATTTAAAAGTATCATAAAGATGGTTGAATAAATATGAATAAAATTTATAAAAATATTGCACTGGTTCATTCCTTGTCAAATAATCCAATAAAAAATAATTTTTGAATCTGTATAACTATGACTTGAATGATTTTTGATAATTAGTTATACTAACTATGTTATATTACAAATCTTTTTTAAAATATTTTTTCCTGTATGGTTTTATTAATATAGGTTTTTAAAAATTGTTGAAACACTTGAATTTCACCTAGTTTTTGTATCGCAAAAGTGCTTGAAAAAAATTCTGGGTATTATTGTATAATTCAGTGGTCTTTAATATCATTGAGGTCTTCTTATCTCCATTGATGTCACTTTACAGGGTTAAATGTTCAGTATTCCTCTAAAACACCTTTAATTTTGTTTATTTTAAATAATTAACTATCTCTCATTATTAAGAGTTATGAAAAAAGATTAAATATAATTTTTGAAAGAATTTGATATTGGAATAAAGGGAAAAAAAAAAGAAAAGAAAAATGCTTGTACAGGTCAAATATGAATCTCTGGAAATACTAGTCAAAAGGTATAGGTATAATACATCGTTGGAAAGTGAAGAATTTTAGAAAAAACAATACATAATTTAGAAAGTTGTAGAAAGTAATTTAGAAAACTTATATTATTTAACGGACCTTTATTGATTAAAAAAAAGTTTCAAACTCTCAAATACTACTCAAAGTTATATCTAATCCTAAGCACCCTCTAAACAATCTTTTCTCTGTAATAGCTCTTCAAATAGCTTCTCATCTTTCTCTGATAGATGTTCAGAATATATTAAAAATCTTAAACTCATTCTTTTTCCAAATGAGTTAAAATAATTTCTTTCAGAAGTAGAACGATGGCTGCTACGTATTCTAGCTGTAATTATTAACTACATAAGCTATCATTTACCCCCAATAGAAATAGCAGCCACTCACTGGGACTGGATCTTTATCTACACAGATGGTACAAAAACTGACGAAGGGATAGGCACTGCTGTTGTATCTGGCAATCACATACACTTAATTTTGCTGCAACCCTTCTCCTCCTTAGTGTACACCGCAGAACTTCTAGGAATCAACCGCGCTGTTTGCAATATAACTCCAAATTATCCTCGGTCGGTCATATGTTCCGATTCTAAATCTGCCCTATAATCTCTACTAGACGCCTTTACCACACACACTCTAATTATAGAAATAAAAATACGATTAAAAACATTGAAAGAAGCTGGTTGTAGAGCATTTTTTTTATAGATACCTGATCACAGTGGAATTTCTGGAAATGAAAATGTAGACACACAGGCGAAACGAGCAATAAAAAATGGTCAAGTATTTTCAATAAGTGATCGCAATGATCTAATATCTTGGATCAATGAAAAAGGATGGCTGGATTTGGAACATTAATGGTTTGGCATGAGAGAAAATAAATTAAGAAAAATCGAACAATATGTTAAATATACAAGAAAAAAATCTACAGCTATCACGAAGAGAAGAGGTAGTTCTTACCCGTCTCAGGATTGACCTTTGTCGACATATCCATGGATATCTGATGAAGAAGGAAGAACTACCAACATGTTCCTACTGTGGATGTATTCTAACAGTGCTTCACATACTAACAGAATGTATGGCTCACGACTCCAACAGATTTTCCACAGACCTCAGGGTTGTTCAGACAAATATTGAGACAGGAACCAGACACGACTTCACGAATTATTAAATTTTTAAAAACTATCGAGATATATAATAAAATTAAAAAAGAAACTTCAAGTGACTAAAGAGACTTCTGTGTAAATGATCTCAGTGGTCGAAACAAATAAATACATAAATATTAAACGAAAATCACATATTTTCAAGGAAATCAAATGACATTTAATAACTAAATGTAAAGTTTTAAAATATTTTTTAAGTTTGAATAAAAGTACTTAAAATCCACCTAATCAAGGCAACGATATTGTTAAAAAAACTATTTCATTGTACTTGTGTGAAAGAAGTGAAAATATAAAAACATTTCATGGATTTATAAAGCATATGTTTATAACCTAACCTTAAATACATTTACTGTAAGTTTAATGATTTTAGATCTGGTATTATGAAGTAGAAGGCATGTTCGGGATCATGTGTGAACATTGATAAAAGTGAGGTTAATTTTTCTTTGAAAATCTTTTTGACAAAATCTTAGAGTAAATTAACAGTGAAAACTTTTCTTTTTGTTGCATTCTGTTGTTGAAACCAATTAGCTCCAAGAAATAGGAACTCCACACCTCGGTGTAGCGGTTTCACCGCAAACGATGCCTGAGACGTCGATATCTGCCAGTTCTACAGAAAATGTGGACGCTTTAAACTCAAACCAAACTACTGAAAATAATTGGGAACTCGTTACAGGAAGAAAACGCTCAATGGACAATAACAGAGACCCAAGAAAAGCTAAAAAGGTAAGTGAAGTTACAACAGTAACCACTAATAGTTTTGAAGTTTTAACTAACATTAGTGACGAGTCTGAAGCTACCACTAAGCAACCAGTTTCTGTAAAACCGCCCCCTATCCACTTGAATGATGTACAGAACTACACCGAACTGGTCACATTTCTCCAAAATGTAGGAGGTTTGAACAGCTTTAACCTAAAATCCACATCAAGAGGAGTAACCGTATATCCTGAAAACTCTGACACATATAGACGTATAGTAGCTAACTTAAGACAGGTAGGTGCCGATTTCCATACCTATCAGTTAATAGAAGATAGAAATCCAAGAATCGTATTAAAAAACTTACACCATGCTACTCCAATTGAAACCATAAAATACGAATTAAAATGCCTAGGCTACGATGCCACAAGTATTGTGAACGTTATTTCCAGATACAAAAATCCACTTCCCATGTTCTTTATTGATATCTCTAAAGCCACATTTAATGAAAAAATTTTTGATATCAAATTTTTATATTATACTAGAGTGAAAATCGAAGAGCCAAGAAAGAAAAGAATGATTCCACAGTGCACCCGTTGTCAGCAGTATGGCCACACAAAGGCTTACTGCAATCACTCCCCGAAGTGCGTGAGATGTGGCCAAGGACATGATAGCACCGTCTGCACAAAGACAAGAGAGACCGCAGCAACATGCGCGAATTGTAGCGGATCCCATCCAGCAAATTATAGAGGGTGTGCAACTCTAAAACAACTGAGGGAAGTACGCAATCTCCGTAAAAATATACAAAGTCCCCAAAAAGCACAAACTAGCGCACCCCCAGGTATAGACGAGTTTCCTTCTCTTCCGCAAAGTCAGCATACCGCAAATTCAGGTTCTTCAAAACCCGATTCTCAATATCTAGGACCAAAACTGCGAACTTCTCCTACAGAAGTCCCAGAAAATCACCTTCACCAGCCAAAGCATCCAGAAATGAAAAAGGGCATTACTCAACCGCCACTACCGACTTACAATCACCCGGCTTCAGCTCAGCTCTTCAACTTGGTAAGTGGATTGAATAACCTCATCCAGCCTCTTTTCAGCCTTCTCCAAGAACTGTCTCACGTTGCACAAGCCTTATCCTCCAGTTATGGCTACTAATCGGCTGACAGTGGGCTCCATGTCCGTTCTTCTGTGGAACGCAAATGGTATAAACCAACACAGGACTGAACTTGACATGTACATACATGAAAAACGGACTGACATTGCTCTCATCACTGAAACACACTTGACTCCACATTCTAAATTTTACATTCCAGGCTACAAAATATATAGAACTGACCACCCTGATAAGACGGCACATGGCGGTACGGCAATACTGATTAAGCAATCACTAAAACACAACCCTTTACAATTACCCATTACACCTGACATACAATCCACAGCAATTACTCTGTATACCCAGCACCATACCATTACCTTCGCTGCAGTGTACTGCCCTCCGAGATACGTGCTAACATCTGCAATGTTTTACAATTTTTTCCAACATCTCGGTCGGTGTTTTATTGCAGGTGGTGATTATAATGCCAAACATCAGTCCTGGGGAGCACGACTCTGTACTCCTAGAGGAAGAAATCTAAAGTCTGCCATCGATCAGCTTTCATTAAACACGATCTCACCTGATACACCTACTTACTGGCCAACTTCAAGACAGAAAACACCAGATTTACTTGACTTTTTCATTACTAAAGGACTCAGGACAGTGCCGTATACTGTAACTGCAAGCTCTGATCTTTGTTCTGATCATTCTCTTCTCAGTTTGGTACTATGCGATGAGCCTCGTACTGCATCAAAAAAACCAACACTTACAGATAGGATAATCGATTGGAAAGCTTACAGCGACTACTTAAATTCGACGCTATCAATCCCAATGTCCCTTAAGACCGAAGAGGAACTCGAAAAAGCTGTTGATAAGTTCACAATCAGCTTACAACAGGCTGTATGGTCATCATCTGTACCAAGACCTAGCAGAAATACGTCTCTTCCAATCTATGCGCAGTACATTAGAGACTTGATCAGAGCAAAGAGAAGAGCGCGCAAAGTGTGGCAGACTGGTCGACTTCCATCTGACAAACGGACTTTCAATAGACTTAACAATGAACTTAAACGACAGATTCAGAATTTTAAAAGAACGATCTACGACAATTACCTCAAAAATCTTTCGACTGACGATGGAAGCTTATGGAGACAGACTAAGAAACTTGTAAAGCATTGTGAGGTGTCATCACCACTCCGAAACGTAGATGGTTCCTGGGCTGTGTCAGACCTTGAAAAATCTGAGCTCTTTGCCAACCATCTTTCTTCTGTTTTCATACCACATACTGACTTCTCTAATACTGATCACGAAAGACATGTACAAAACACTTTAGACATTCCTTTACAACTGTCATTACCTCCACTTTGCTTCACTCCCACTCAAGTTGCAGAACAAATCAGACAGTTACCTAAAAAGAAAGCTCCCGGTCATGACCTGATAAATGCTCAAGTGCTCCAGAAAATGCCAAGGAAAGCTCTAGTATACCTAACATCAATTTATAACGCAATACTCAGAACGACTAAATTCCCCTTACAATGGAAATACTCATTCATAAAAATGATTCACAAACCTAACAAAAACACTGACTTTCCTTCATCATACAGACCCATCAGCTTGCTCCCATTATGCTCTAAAATCTTTGAGAAACTTCTCTACAAACGACTTCTTGACATACTGACTACTGAAAACATAATACCTGAACATCAGTTTGGATTTCGTTCACACCACTCAACCATTCATCAGCTACACCGAGTGACAGACTACATTGCGACAGCACTAGAGCACAAATTATATGCAACAGGAGTATTTCTGGATGTTGCTCAAGCGTTCGATAGAGTCTGGCATCAGGGACTTCTTTTCAAACTTAAGACTATACTCCCTCCAACCTACTATCTTATTCTTCAATCTTTTCTTTCTGACAGATTTTTCTCTGTTTGCCAAGGTACAGAACTATCTACCATTAAACCAGCCCTAGCAGGGGTGCCTCAGGGGTCAGTACTCGCTCCTCTGTTGTATATTATTTACACATATGATATTTCAGATCCTCTCTATACTCTGACCGCGACTTACGCAGACGATACAACAATCTTGACAAGACATCAAAATTCAGCATACGCCTCACAGACTTTACAATATCACCTAAACAATTTCTACGACTGGTGCAAACTCTGGAAAATTCGACTCAACCTTGACAAATCACAACATATCACATTTACCCTTCGACGTGAAACTTGCCCCCCTATTTACCTTGACAATATCCAAATTCCTCAGACAGACAAAGTTCAATATCTTGGACTGACCTTTGACAGAAGAATGACATGGGGCCAACATATCAAAAACAAAACAAAAACTTTAAACCTAAGACTACGCCTATTGTACTCACTCCTTGCAAGAAATTCGAAATTAAAACTTAGACAGAAATTGAATACATATACTTACCTACTCAAGCCTATTTGGACCTACGCTTTACAGATATATGGGACAGCCAAAAAGACTCACATACGTAAATTACAGACTTTTCAATCTAAAACTTTCAGGACTATTACCAAAGCTCCCTGGTACGTCAGTAACATTACTCTACATAAAGACTTACAGATGCCAACAGTTAACGACCACATACGAACATACTACAAACGATTTCATAATAACTTACACGGACATACAAACTCATTGATTCGAGGCATGGCCACAACTAACATGCCCGATAGCACCCGAAGGAGGCTTAAAAGAAGCTGGATGAGGGATCTCCTCCACTAACTAGAAATATTACGCTCAAGACAGGAAGGACGCCGCTGGGTACTCCTCTCCCTCACGCCTATTCCAAGACCAATCTCTTCATCTTGACATCACACTCGCTGATTGTCGGAACTTCTGACAGGTGTGAGTTGAAGAATCAAGTCAAAAAAAAAAAAAAAAAAAAAAAGATCTGGTATTATATTTAAATAATTAGGTATCAAAGTCCGTTTATTCCGAAAAATCGTCATGTGACTTTAAAAAAAATTAAATTAGCGAATGTATATTTTGATGAATTTTCCTTTTGTGAAATCCCAACATTACCTTTACTTTGGTTTATTATAAATAATTAACTATTTCTCATTGTTCGGAGTTATGAAAAAATGCTAAATATAACATTTGAAAATATTTGATAATTGAATAAAGGAGAAAAATGCTTATCCAGGTCGAAAGTGAATATCCAGAAATAATAGTCAGAGAGTATAAGTATAATATATAGTTGGAAAGCAGATAATTATAAAAAAATATATAAATAATAATTTCTAAAATTATATTTAAATAATTAGGTATCTATCGTCCATTTATTCTGAAAAATCATCATGTACCCTTTTAGAACATTAAATTAGTAAATAATTTGGTGAATTTTCTCTTTATGATATCCCAATAATATCCACTTACAATTAGTATGACAACATTTGACCTGTCTATGACAGACAATGCAAATCTCGTAATTCCATTTTAGTAAACTTTGCAAAGGAAAATAACAGTTTAATGACTAATAGTCATACAATCCATAATCAACAGATCGTACAATCCATAATCAACCTGTAATATAATAAATTGTATTTTTGTTATTTTAATGGTATTTATGATTTATTAGCTGTAAGCTATAAGCTTTAGCTAGGTTAAAAAAGCAATTAAAAATTTTTATAATAGCCCAACATGGCTAAAAAATAATTTCTATTCAAAGTTGAGCGGCAAGGGAAAGTTGTGTGTTGCGCGCAACAGATTTTTTTATCTAAAATGACAGGTTTTGAGATTTTCAAAAATGAGTAAAAAAACTTCTTTCTTTGTGGTTGCCATGTTACATTGCCAAATGAAAGACCATACAATACACTTTAAACTGAGTTATCAACAACATTGTGAAATTCAACTGTTATCACAATTTTTTAGAATCGAAATATATTTTTAAAAAATACTCAAGAAACAATAGATTTGACATGGTGATAAATAACACATAAAAATCATGAAAATAATTATAAGATTTTCTTTTAAGTTGTTATAGATTTATAGCCAAAACAGAAAATAGGTAATTTTTGGAATTAAAAAAGGATAGTAAAAATTTCACTTCACACTTTGATATGAATATTTTTTAATAATGTAATGTAGTGATTTTTGGTTTAAATGTTTAGTATGACATACAATTAAAATAATATAGTGATATTTTTGACAATGACAAATAAAATTATAAATAATAAGCATAATTAAATTGTTATATGGTTATTTTGTATACTTAAAGAAGAGCCAAGCAGATTGGAACAAAGGTTAAAAAAGAATGTTTGAAGATATAAAGGATTAATTTTTTTATTAAGAAAAAAGAATAAGATAAGATAAACAAATAATTACATAATTTTGCTTCAAGTTTTTATTTATTGACAAAAAATAACAAAACAATAAAATATAATGTTTGGAATGAACAAATAATTATAAAAAATTTTCTTCTAGTTAATTATCTGTGGATATAAATATGATAGAACATGATGAACACCTTAAAATATAAAATAATAAACCTCATTTCATATAAGAAAAATCTCAAATATTGTTGTTCTGGTTTAAAAATAGGTTTAATACATTTAAAACAATATACAAGTAAATAGAATTTTATACAAAAAAATTAAAGTATACTTTATAGAATGAATCTATATTCTTAAAATATGATTTAATACAATAAAAATATCTAACGAAATAAAATTTTAAAAGCATTCGCTAGGAACAATCAGGAAATTAAATTTCTAAAAATAATTACAGAGCAATAAATAAAAATCTTATCAATTGATTAACTTTAGCATTTTTAGATCTATGAGTGGCTGATAGGCCAACTTCTCATCGATCACAAGTTCTACTGTGAGATCAGGATTCCGTTCCTGAAATAAAAAATAATATAAATTAGATTATTCCTCATCTTATTACAATATTTATTGCTAGTAATCGAGTGAAATTAGTTTAGAAATAAACCGTATTACTCCTTCAGGTAAGTAATCACATAAGTAAATATGTATCACTTTGAGAAGAGAAATAGGTACTAAGAATGAGTTAATGAATAGAATTTAGGCAAAAATAAAACATTTCAAGATTTGTAAAATACATCGATCGCTTATTTATATTTCGAGTACCTGCAGCATAGCACAACCTTAAATTCACTTTGCATTTATCTAATCATTGTTATTCGTTGGAACAGAATAAGAAGAAAACAATTTTTTTTTTAAAATGTATTTTAAAGGCAACAATCACCAGGGACATTATTATCTTATTCGTTAAGTATTAAATTTTATTGTCCAATTTTGCACTTTAAAGAAAAAAAAAATGTCAGCATTATTCGTATTATCTTGTAAAATACAATGGCATGTAGTTCATTTGGCAAGCCACAAGTTATTCTAATTGGTTAGTAGGCTGAGCAATCTGTAAAACCTGTTTTATAGTCAGTGAACTTCCATAAGTTTGAAATGTAGGAGAAGAATCGCGGGCCATCAGGTATCTATGGGTCAGATGCGTAAGGATCACTTCCTCTCTGTATTTATTTTTGTTTGACGTTAACCAAGAGGAAATTTCACTTTTAATTTCCCTCAAAATTTATTTTCAGTAATACTTGACCACATCTGTTCCAATTTTAACTTAGTTTTTATTTTAATAATGGAAACAAAATCCTCGGCATATACCCCCTGATAAGGAATTCCTTCCGTAACCGCTTTTTTGTCCGCCCAATCTGCCAGCTCATTCATTACCTGTTATTCCGCAGTGCCTAAGGACCCAAAAGAAATACACTGACATGTTATTTCCATAAGCAGATCTTAAGGAGTGCAGTTCTGAAAACGGATAGAAACTGCAATCCACCTTCCATTGACGACTTTTAATACAGTGTAAATAGTCTATTATTTCCAAAGGAAAAGTTTGGCTGTCTTTTGTTTAAAAAAAAAAAAAAGTTTTAAAATTCTAGTATAGAACAATTGTCTGCATAAATCTGTTATTCATAAGGTAGTAAATAATAAAAAAAAAAAAATTATTTTGGCATTATAAGTTAAAACATGAACATATTTCTAAAATAATAACGAATAACCAAGGTGAATCTTAGAGATATTACAGAAAAAAATACAATTTGTCCTTTTTCCACTCCAATATATTATACACTATATTTCCTTATAAATAAGCGAGAGAAATTTAAACCATGTAAGTTTATGCCACAACAGTAACTATATCAATATGGGTGCCAGTTAGGAGTATCTTTACATAAAACTGGCTCTCTGTTTTTTTAGGGATCTCTAGTGGCTTTATCCTAACTACATGCTCCCGTTCTCGCGCAGTCATTTTAATTAGACTCCGCCTCTTGTCCTACCTTTAATGCTAAAATATGTTTTACAGCTTATAAATTAATTGTTTTTTTTTGGGCTTAAATAACACGCCCAAAAGACAGAGTGGTTGACAGCTAGCTCATTATAGAAACTAAATCCTGTTTCTATCTATCTATACTGGCTCTACAACCCGCGAAGCGAGTCGCCCTCTGCCAACAGCATCCACCAGGTATGAAACCCTGTTTATATATAATATTAAGATAATATAAACTAATATTTAATACATAACTTATAAAAAATTTGATAATATATCATTAATATAATGTAGTATAAATAAAATTATGTTATCTATATATAATATTAATAACATTGTGATAACTTCGACAAGGCTCCATTTATCCATACGAAAATTAGCAAGAATTTAGGGAACTATAATACACATGAAATGGCACAAACCAGACAGTCAAGAATAAATTGAGGCTTGGAGATAAAAAATAAAAACATTTAGGAAGTTTTTATTTATTTATTCCTTATAAAACCACAAAATCTATAAGTTATTGATATGATTTTGAAGAGAAATAATTGAGCTTTCCAATAGTTGTAGCTACGTTGACTTAGAAAAAATCCTGAGGAGTTTTGAATATTTTAGTGAACGGCATGAGAAAATCCTCCCATAAAATTTAGTCGAAAAAAGTATATTTTTTTATTACAATGCAAACTCGTATTGAAGAGTTTAAGTGGAGGCTAAAAACGAATCAGGATCGATTTCTCATGACAAAAATATATTTGGCCTACTTTACTGGAAATATCTTAGGGTTTTTGTGATTTATTATACATTAGAATTGGTTTAATACAACTAGCAATATGTTTTTCTTATATTACACAAAAAAACAAATCGATTGATATATAATAAATCAGAAATCCATTTCCATTTCCAGAAATCCATCAGCCCATGGCATTGGCAAGAATCCTCGGATATGGGTCTTATATTTTTGACCAAGTATCACCAAAACTTTTCATTGAAATTGGTGAGCTCACGTCCATAACCTTCCCTTTTAGTTTTAACTTTTTTCTTCACCATTAATTTTAGACGTTGAAACAGTTTCAGACTAGTTACTAAATGTAATTTATGGATTTACAGAACGACACCGATTTAAGAAATAAATTTTAAAATGATGATATACATATTTTCTGTTAAAATTAAAGAATTTTAGAAAAATTCTGACGTGTGTGTGAACAAAAGTATTGATACTTTATGAAAGCTGCTATATTTCCAAATAATTATTTTCCTTCAAGAAAATAATTAAAAAGTACCTTTGTGTATTTTAAACACACACACACATATATATATATATATATATATATATATATATATAAAACATAATTTTATTAATACTATATACATTAATATATATAGGTAACATAATTGTATTAATACTATATTATATTAATGATATATTATCAAATTTTTCATAAGTTACGTATTAAAGATTAGTTTATATATAAATAAACAGAGTTTAGTCTCTCTAATGAGGTAGCTGTCAACCACTCTGTCTTTTGGGCGTGTTTCCCTACTTATTGAAGCAAAAAAAAACACAATTAATTTATAAGCTGTAAAACACATTTTAGCATTAAAGGTAGCATAAGAGGCAGAGTCTAATTTAAATGACTGTGTGAGAATGAGAGCACGTAGTTAGGATAAAGCCACTAGAGATCCCTAAAAAAACAGAGAGCCAGTTTTATGTAAAGACACTCCTGTGCCAGTTACGCAATATAATTTGGTACTCCGTTATAGAATATGTTTTTTATTTTTTTTAATTAATCATTTGATCTTAAATATTTCAACTGGTTTTAGGTGAGCTTGTACTTTATAAAGTTTCATGAAAAATGTTTTTACATTATATTTTACACTTAAATGTCTATATTATATTGGCATTGTGTAATAGAAGAGAAGACAAAGATTACCGTAATGGAAATTATTATTAATTTTTAAATAGTGATTTTTTCAATACTACAGAAACCTAGACTAAAATAATAAAAAAATGCATAGTTGATAAACTAAACCTGAAGAAATCTTTTATTTCATCTGATTATTAGTTTTAATACTATTCAAGAGACCATTACATTTTTTTCTTTTTTATTTAAGGAATGTCAAAGTATTTTTTTCAGATATGGGTAAGTAGTCGACTGATCAATTATAAGGATGAAACAAAAGTTGTCAGGAATTTCAGTCACAATTTTTTATTATTGGGTTAGCTGACGTTTTGACCCAATTTTTTTTTCAGGATCTTCAAAATATGCAAATTATTATCTATTACAAATATTTTTAAATGGTATATCCATTAATTAAGAAATAAAATTTACCATTACGGATGCTTTTATATTCATATACATTATAGGCTCAAATGCGGATCGACCCAAAACATAAGTCAACTCACCATTTAAAAAAATTTTTTCAGGGAGAAAATATGAGTGGAGAAAAATTAAACTATCAATAATTACATACATCTCACATTTATATAAAAATTTAGAAACTGCATCACACAAATTTCTCTCCTTTATTTATATATAGGAAAATCTCAGAGAAAAAAAATGATAACTCCACACTCATTTTATTTAATTATAAAGCCTATTTCACGAATCAATACATACCACAATATCAGCTTTTATTGTGTCTTGTCCCAAACAATCCTGTATAGCATGTAATATATCAGAAGTATTACAATTTTCATTCATGGCTACATTGTACAAAGTACAAAGTAATCCTTGCACTTCAAGGTTGGCCCATTCTTCCTTCAGTTCATGAACACTGAAAACAATAAAAATATATTATAAATAATATATTTGACGTTCAAAAATAATCACCCTAATATCAAAAAAGTGGCCATTTAAATATTATTTAAATGGCCAAGTGGAGTCCTGAAAACACTCAATTCAAATCACTTCTATTCACTCAAAGCCAATGTTTATGAGCATGACCTATCAACTTAATTATGAATCGATTATTTAATTTATATGAATGGGATGAGTAAGTATTGAAAAAATGTAACTCTATCCTTCACAGGTTCTTATTCCTAATAAACTAATGATTAATTATCTTTACTTTATTTACAACCGATAAAAGAGATCTGGTGAAAAAAAAGTTATATGTAAATTAAATTTAATAGAAATTAATTATGTTATTTTGTTAAAACATTGAATTTTTTAAATAGCAATATTTTCTTCACTTTCATTGATTATAGGTTACATTGGTAATAAATAGTATTGAATAAATTCCTGAATGACGTTTTTATATTCTTCCATCAAAACTATGCTTCATTCTTGACAAATTATCCCCAGTCACTTTTTTACAACTAGTATAAATACATTAAAGGCATATTTACCATTAATATTTAGTCTTAATAAAATGAAAGAAATTATTAACTCTAGTGACAATAAATAAATAAATGTGGCTAGACCAAGACTTATACATTTTGGAGGTCACCACAGACATATTTAACACAATGTAAAAAAATAAATCAACTATAATTCAATCATGACTATTCTACAAACTAATATTTTGTTTTTGGTGAAGAAAAAAAAATGTAAATGTGAAGAAGTAGATTGTTAACAGAGTTATGCACAATATTGATAAAATAGTCAGTCATCTTTGGTTCACATTTGTAGACATATTTCATAAAGTAATAGTACATACACTTATTTATTAAATTTTACTTATACACTTTTATTTAAAATACTTAGCGAATTCTTGAAGCAAGAATAAATAAATGCCTATGTTTTCTTTTTCTGAATTGTTTTGGTGTCATGGTAGAGTGAATATACATATTCATCACCGTTTTTTAACCAAAACCAATAACAAAAGGGAATTTAAGTGAATTCGATGATCATAAATTCAAATTAAAAATTATTAAATAACTATACCATCATAACTTTTACTATTATGACTCTATAAACCATTACTTTATACGTACCATGAACCAGGAACAACTTCTACATTCCCATAATCAACATATTGCACTAAGAGCATGTCATCCGGCAATTCTTCTAAAACAAATCCTCTGTACCACTTTTTATCCATAGAGAACGTAGCACAACAAGCCTTGTCTATAAAGCAAATTATTACTTTAAAATAAATTATAACAGGTAAGTTTATAATTAATTACATTAACAGATCAAAAAAAAATACGAACACTTGTAAGGATGTTGCAACAATGGTTGGTTCGGCCCTTCAATTTGCATTTCATCTGATAGTTCACTAAAATCGTCCAGCATCTTGAGTACCTAAAACAGAAAAAAATGATCATTGATCATCAATAAAACTATGAAAAAGAATCTCTTGACCGTTGACATGGAATAAACTAAACAATTAATTTAAAAATTTAAGAATTAGCTATCATCAGCTATAATATATTTCAAAATTATCGTATTATAGTGTAATTATTTCTGCCTTGGACATATCACAGGATTTTTATTTTAAGTATTGCTCAAAGAAGTATATAAATGGACTAAAAAGCATTTCATAAAGGCTTTTAGAGATAAATATATCTGTTAAGGGGGGCTCTGATATTATTAAACAGATCTCTAAGAAAGTCAAATAAATAAAAAAAACTGGAATAGAAATGGACTATGCTGTTGGTTAAAAAGAAAATAAGTAAATATAAAATCAAACTAAATAATAAAAATTTTACCACAGGATCTTCTTCCACATCTTCAATATGTAAAATAACTTGGATAGGAGATAAGAATGCTGTCACATCTACTATTAATGATTTCACAACAGGTGGAATTTCAAAAATTTTAAACACCAACTTTGGCTGAAACAAGGAGTACACTTCATGTTATTTTATTTCAAAAAAATTCATAAATGTTTAATAAATAAATTAATTACATATGTTAATATTTTGTTTTTTCGGTTGGCGCTACAGACCCTACAGATCTTTGGCTGCAAGATGTGGTTTCCTTACAGACATACATTGCTAGCGGGAGCACCGATAGCCTGGAGGGAGTCACCCAACCTCATGTCGATACGAACCATGGTCTCTTAGAGCAGCGGCAGGCTACCCGTTGCTCCATGGCCAATCCCTTTGGGGCCAATCTGACAGTATCGTTCTCACTGACTTAATCGGGTCTAAAGACAGTGACATATCAGTCTAGATCCATGGATTATGGTTGTTCAGAGTCAGTCCGTGCACGAGGACCCATATTTCTTTCCCCCAAACAGACCGTCCATTGACCAAACCCAGGGGGTCTACTGACATCCTGGTGAACCATATCCCGATTCCTGATTTAAGTACACAGGGTAAGGTCATCATTCCTATGCCCAGTCAGTGTGAGTTGCCTCCAGTAGACTGATGGGGCTCAGGAGGGAGGGTCTCAGGCAGTGTGACTCTTCCTGATGGACTGTCACCCATCCAAGTACCAACCACGCTTGACATTGTTTAACTTTGATCACCTATTGCAAGTGCCTTAGCCCACATGGATACCCCGGTCCCCACACATATATATATATATATATATATATATGGGTGTTAAACCTTATCTTCTTTGTAATGTCTGCCTGTGATGGTTCACATTAAACAGTTTATCAGACTGAGCTACCTTAGCAAGTTGCAGGTTCGGAGGCTGGGTGTGGCAGGTGATTATTTATTCTCTTACATAAACCCTGGAATCAGGAGACTCTTCCTGTGGCTCATCCAGCCTCTATAAAGCCGTACTCTTAATTACATAATTAATTAAGGGAACAAACCTGGTGGTTGACCATGGTCTGGGTCCAATCACCTCCCTGCAAAACCGTTGACAACTGTACTACCATACAAAATACTACATAATTCAGGAGTACAGATCCTTTTTCCAACTTTGGAGTGACATATTTTGATAATTTAATAAAAGTGATTAAAATCTACAAATAGCATTGAAATTCTGAAAGTAGCATTTTGGCAGAAGGAGATGGAACAGTCTGAATTATGATTTCAAGGCGGAGATCAAGATCCAATCAGGAAATTCCCACCCTAGGTTAAATGCTCCTCATAAATGTCATCATTATCATGGGACACTTATCATTTATCGTTTAAGTTTTAAAAATTATAATATTATCCTAGGATAATAATAAAGAAAATTTTTGATATTTTTAATATAATAGTTGGCATTCTTTGAACACATATTTTAATTTATTTTGGTTGTTAATATTGTCATAGCAGTGATGACGTTCTTACCCAAGTTTGGCTTATACATTACACCCTTAATAAGTGAGAGAATAATAAAAAAAAGATCCTATTCTTCTGAACCAACCAAATATGTATAAGAAATATAGTGCTAGGTTAGTTTAAAGTTTTCTTACTGAGCTGTTAAACTGAAGGAATAATGTGGTTTTCATAGTAAAAATGGTTTCATTATTTTTATTAAAAAACAGTTATATTGTTTGTGGTTGTAATATATCTTTAAAAGGCCAATGAAAAAATTATTGTGAATTAAAAAATGAATGGATTGATAAATGTAAATATACAATTTTTTAACCCGCCCGTCAGGCAGTTGAACCATTTTTGCTATTTGGTAATTTATTTTTGTGATAATTATAAGTCAGTAAAAAAAGTGATATAAATACAATTAATCTGCCTGACTTAAAACCTTAGAATATATAAACAGGCATTAATAAATATACTTGTTTACCAAGATATGTCTTATATAATTGTAGTAAGGACATACCATATCTTTCTTTGATAAAGTTTTTAAAACAGAAGACCAGTGTAGGATTGGTGTCTTCTTAATTCCATTTTCAACTATACCAAGTTCTTCCGTCTTGGTCGTTTCCAAAACAGGTTTCAATTCAACTATACTACAAGCACTCTCTGATTCTGACTTTGGATTAACCATTTCAGAATCATCACCTGAATCATCTGAATTTTTGTAAATGGCGAAAAATTCTTTCACTATTTCATTAACATAATCACGCCCATCAGGCAGTTGAAGTTTTTCAATCTAAAATAATAAATAAATAAAAATAAAATTGACATTTATTGTAGTAGAAGTTATCAAATAGATTAATTATTATAATTATTTTTTATTGAGAAATATAAATAGTAAGACAATTTAAACGAATTAATACCCCATATATATCAGAATCAGGAATCTCAACCAGTTTTATTTGACAATATTTATCCACTATATTGTATTGAATTATTTCGATATCTCTCTGTTTCCACATACCTGAAGGGTCAATCTGAAAAAAAAAAATAAAATTAATGACACAGATTAATACAAGTATGTTTCATTCTTCTTACATATATAGTACATAAACAGAAAACATTATATTCATGGAAAAAAAAATTATAATGAGTATTTACATTTTATGGCTAAAGCCATAGCCATAAAAACATTTTTGAAAGAATGTTCTTTGATAATTTACAAGGTCATAATGTGTTCATATTCAATAAGTAAATCAACAGCCACATTGCAAACGCCTGAAACTTGAAAACAAAAAATAATCAGATGATGAAAAAAATTGTGGATTCTTTTTTCTGAGCAAGATTTTCTGTTCAATTTATATTGGATGGCTAAGATAAATATGAAATGTTTTAAGTATCTCTTTTGGTTTGTATTTCAGGAATAAGTGCAGGTCCTAGATTACTTCCTGGTGGTGGTGGGAGAAACCGGCAAGTAACCATTGTGGTCCTTTTTGCTAACCCCTAAAAGCCACTTAGAGGAGGTTGTTGCAACATACTAGACTTGAGTGTCAAGATTTATTTCTTGAGACCACAGAGAAAAAAAATATTAACTGAGCCAGGTGGGAATCAAACCCAAGTCATTCCAAATCAGGTACCCTGTGACCCTCGCCTCAACATGCATGGCCATCACGTCCTGTAGGGCCTTTTGCAGCTCGGTTGTTTAAAATTGCATAAATATCAACTTAAATAACAAATATATGCTATGGATAGAAAGACCACTATTATGTAAAAACTATCTATGTTATAAAAACTTACGACTTTAAACAAAAACTTACAAATAAATAAAAACAATTAAATGTAATATGTACTTGTTAAACATAATATATTTATATTATTATTGTAATTGGATTATCATTTTTGTTCTTTTATTAATTTTTTCAAATATTCAATTATATATATTTATTTAAATATTTTAAAATAACAGAAGTATTTTTCATTTACTATTGCTGTTATTTTTTAATTAACTTATTATTATTTTTGATGATTAAGACTTTTTGGCCTTCCTATTAGAGGAATTTTATTCATAGAATAAAGTTAGTTTTCTGAAGTAAATAGAAGGAATCTTCTTAATATAGTGGACTTATGAGAAAAGACAATTATATCATTACAATATGACTTTATTAGAATGGTGAACTCAGTACATTTCAAGTGAATTTCAATTCTTCATCACTTTTTTTTTCTATATAGCAAATATATAATAAATTTCTAGCTGACTGTGTGGCTTTATCCGATGCAATTAAAAATTTAAATAAATATATATACAAAACAATATCCTTATGTTATTTGAAACAGATTAACAAGTTTTAAAATAAATATAAAGTGATTTTTATTGTTCATAATTAATCAATAAAAATAAATAAAATCTCTCCTAAGTAATAAACTTTGGCATAAAAAATTAAATGTGTAAAAAATGTGAGATTTGAATAAGAGAGATAAAGAGTTTAGGTATACATAAATCAACCTTCAAACTTAATATTCAAATATTTTAAATTATTGTTTTGTTTAATTTTAATATTTGTTTTATTTTATTGTATTTTTATTGCTCATGAATTATTTTCAGTATTCATGAAATTCACATATCAGAAAGCTTGCTATCACTCAAGGACATATGAGTACTCATTTGACCTTAATCAAAACTTAATACTACATAACAGCTGTTCCTAAGATAAGGAATTATCTAGTATCAGTGGCATTAAATATCAAGAAATCTCACTTAGTACAGCTCATATTGCCCTAATCATGGAAGAAATAAATATTCGAAAAGCAACAAAATGTGATTGCACTGAAATTATGAGACTTGTAAAGGTAAATTTTAAAATGAAGACTATGAATGTAATTTAAATATGAAAACTCATGCCTTCTATAAAATTAAATATTCTAAAAATAAAATAAAATAATTATATTTATTGTTTATCAGGAATTGGCTGAATTTGAAAATATGCCTGATCAAGTAAATCTTGATGCTGAGAGTAAGTTATATAAATAAGATTAAAGTGGAATTAGAGGTCTCAATTAGTGATGCAGAAGTTTATATGTTTTTAAAAACATATTTCAATCCTTGATTAAATTTGGAAAATTTAACATAACAAAAAAATCCTTACTTAAATTTAATTTTTACAAAAATGTTAAAATCCCTTAAAGAGTAAAACTAATATTATTGTTAATTTAAATTAAGAGGTTAATTACCAACCTATGGGATAACTCATAGTTAATATTCTTGCTTTAGACAACAACTATAAGTTATCTTGTAGTTTGATTAGGTGTCATATTTTTGCAGCTACAATGAAATTCTATTTAAATTATAGTTTTTACTAATATAATATCTAAAATTAAATTGACATTTTATAATGGAATCCTGAAACGTGTCATAGTAGTCAATGTGATGAATCAAGTCAATCATTTTTTTAAATAAATAACGCAAATATTTTTATAAAACTTTTTAAAATGTTAAAAAATTATGACATAATAAACTAATATTTTTAATAATTCTAAGAATAGCATAATTAGCATAAAAAATAACTTACTGGTTCATTTTTCCAAGAAATATAAAAATACCTATAACAAATGTATGAATATAATTTCTTTTTTCTAAAAAATAAAAGCAAACCAACCATAATTAAAAAAAAAATCTTGTTGCTCTTGATAAATCAATTTTTAAAACCAAAGCAAGATTTCAATTACTTTTTACTTTCACTGACCTATACATGTAATATATAATAAGGGAAAGTATTGCGATCGTGAAAATAATCGAATCTGAGTTTTCAATGGAAATACACATTTTGAGGTGCCCTGTTTCCAAATAACCAAGTCCTGCAAAATGGTCTGTGTGTCTGTGAACAGGTAGCTCAAAAACTAAAAGTCGTACGAAACTGATATTATGTATTTAAGATAGGTTTATGTCTTTGAAGCGTTCAATTTGCAGATTCAGAACACATTCTTTCAGAACAAACCCATACACCCATTCACATGGAGTAAGTGTGGATTACAGTCGTCTATACTGGATTATTGCATCAGCAGGCAAAAGTCAAGTTGTAAAGGTGTTCAGAGGTTGGGAATGTGGAACTGATCACTTTATGCTCCGGACCAAGATTCTTTTCCTGTGGAAAGTTGGACGGAGTCTAAAAGCGGGCCGCTGCAAAGCAGAGAGCATCACCTTACCAAAGTACAAACTGTATCTTCTTATGGAGGAAAGTGCTGGGATGTTATACGGAAGTAGATTAGAGGAAAAAATAGATTTGAGCCGGGGAAGCAATCTTTCGGAAAAATATGAACACTTAAGGGAGTGCATCCACTCAGCAGCCTGGGTGGTGTTAGGGTATGATGAAAGGAGAAAGCAACCAGATTGGTGGTCTGAGGAGGTGTCGGATTTGGTGACAGCCAAGAAACAAGCATATGAAAAATACTTAACAGAGATCTGGACTGGATTGCCTATAGAGCTCTGAACAAACGTGTAAAAGACGAGGTTGTAAAGGAGAAGAATAACTCCTGGGAGAGATGCTGCCAGAAAATAGATGGAGCACTAGGCTTCAATCAAATGAGAGAAGTTTGGAGTATTTTGAAGAGCTTGAGGACACCACGTATAGGCACGGTTATTTCTTATATCAGTGAGGCCCTTGGAAAAAACATTATGAGATCCTCCTTAACGAAAGTAGAGCAAAGTTTATGGCACAACAGGGTAACGCACAGGATGCCTCCGAGCCGGACCTTATGCAACTGGCGGAAGGAAAAGTGAGGCTGCTCTGGGCAGAGCTAAAAGTGGAACAGTTCCAGGACCTGGAGACCTGTATATGGAACTTTTAAAGGCCGGTGGAGATAAGATGCTTACACTCCTTACCAATATGACAAACATAGTCCTGAAAGGATGTGATCTGCCTGATGATCTCTGAACAGGATACCTCTGCTCCATCTGTAAAAAAGGAGATAGGAAGCAATGCCAAAATTATCGAAAGACTTGTCCGGGATAAGCTTGAAGGGGAGTATACCACACCAGTGGTACTAACTGGTGTCACTGACGATAGATTCTGCATGGACAATATTTTTGTACTCCAGCAGCTCATTGAGAAATGCAGGGCGAAGAATAGGGAGCTTCATTTAGTCTTCATTGATCTGGAGCAGGCATATGATAAAGTTCCTAGGGAAAGAATATGGCCAGCACTGAGAAGAGCGGGTATAAATGAATCTATAGTACAAACAATTCAATATTTGTATGGAAGCGATCTGTAAAGAGTGAAGATTGGGAACCGCTTCTCGGAACCATTTTCTGGAACCAAAGTGCTGAAGCAAGGGTGTTGCCTGTCTCCAAGCATTTTCAAGATATTCTTGGATGAGGTAGTGAAGCAATGAATGATACAAACTTGGGATTATGGAGTTTATTTTGATGACGACGAGCTCCTTACCCTGTTCTTTGTAGACATTTTCCTGGAGATGGTGGTTCAACATTTAAAGAAAGTTTATGAAGAGGCAGATCTCAGGATAAACTTCCAAAAGACTGAGTATATGGCACTGGGAGATGAGGAAGACGATCTACGCATATGTGATCAGGTGTGCAAAAGAGTAAAGGCATTTAAATACCTTGGGTCCTATCTGGACAATGTGGGAACGTCCGAAGTGGATGTCCGAAACAAGATGGAGATGGCAAAAACAGCAACTAGAATGCTGTATCCTGTTCTCTGGAACAACACTATTTCAAATGTGAACAAGCGGGGTATCTTCACAGCTATTGTTGAGTTCATATTAACCTACGGATGTGAGGCATGGTCGATGAATGATAGCTTATATGCCAAAATACGGACTGTATAAATGGATTTTTAGAGATGGTGTCTACAGTTAAGGAGGCTGGACGGAGTATGAAATGAAGTGGTGAAACAGAAAATAGGTGTAGAGGAGACCGTCTCTAAGAGGATCAAGGAACGGCAGTTGAGGTGGTATGAACACTGTAGGAGAATTCCGGAAGAGCATTGGCCGAACAGAGTCCTGGACTGGCAGACGCCCAGAAAGCATAGGCGAGGACGACCTAGAACTACGTGGATGGAAGGAGTCCAAGAGAAGAGGGGCGACAGAGGTCTGCAGAAGAGGGTAGAGATGTGTGGAACTCGACTCTGATCTGAAGAGGTATCCCAAATTGGAAAACTGGAAATAAGTAAGAATGTAAGATAGGTTTATGACGGAGATGTTACAATGTTTTCCTTAAAATTGGCTAACCGGATGTCTCACTTTATATCAACGGCTCTAATGATTTTGATTAAACACGATGTATCATTGTATAATTAAGTGGTCTTTAATATCACTAAGGTCTTATCCCCATTGATGTCACTTTACAGGGCTTAAATGTCCAATGTCAACATTTCTTTCTCTAAATTACTTTTAATTTGGTTAATTTTGAACAATTAATTATCTCTCATTGTTAGAAATTACGAAAAAATGCTAAATATAACTTTTGAAAGAATTTGATAATTGAATAATGGAGAAAAAAGAAAATGTATATCCAGGTTGAAAATGAATCTCCGGAAATAATAGTCAGGAGGTATACGTATAATATATGTTGGGAAGCGGAGAATTTTAGAAAAAATAATATCAAATCAACAAAGTTATGGAAGGTAATGGAGAGTGACGAAAAAAGTATAAATAATAATTTCTGAAAACTAACATTATTTAACGAAAATCATATGTTTCCAAGAAAATTAAATGAAAACTTATAAATTTTCTTTTAAGTTTGAAAAAAAAAAAAATTTAAAATCCATCTAATCAAGGCAATGACATTGTTTAAAATACTATTTCATGGTACTTGTGTGAAAGAAGAAGTGAAATATAAAAATATTTCATGGATATGTTTATAACCTTAAATACATTTACAGTAGTTTAATAACTCTAGTTCTGATATTATATTTATATAACCAGGTATCAATCAGTCATTTATTGCCAAGAATCATCAAGTAACCTTTATAAAATTAGTGAATTATTTGATGAATTTTCCATTGGTGAAATTCCAACATTATCCACTTACAATTATGTGAAAACTTTTGACCTATCCATGAATGTAAAAGATCAAAAATAGACAATGAAAATCTCGTAATTTCATTTTAGTAAACTTTACAATGGAAAATAACAGTTTAATAACTAATAGTCCTACAATCCATAATCATTTATAGATTAAACATTCAAATATACTTTCAAATCTCTCTAGGCATGTATGAGCCTTTCAGTTGAAAGAATAACTCCAATTTCAACATTCTTTATTATTAATTTTTGTGATGTTTCTAGTGGAAAAATGTTTACCTTTATTTACAGTTGCTCAATATTTCAATACGGCAATCATCTACTCTGGAATATACTTACTCACTGCCTGTATAGATAAAACTTTTCCAGCTAGAAATATCACTAAAATGCCATTACTCAAAATGAAATTGGAGTTAGTCATTCTGCCAACTGAAAAGCACACATAGCTCAGAGACTGAAGTTGTGGTTTAATGGTCTTAATGATTTTGTTATCTGTAAACTTTAAGCTTTACTTTAGCTCCGTTTAAAATGCACTTCAAAAATTTTATAATAATAAGCCCAATATTGCCAGATATAATTTCTATTCAAAGCAGAGCGGTAAGTGAAAGTTGTGTGTTGTAAAAATTGATTTTTAAAGATATTGTGCTGCCAAAAATAACCATTTCCTTCTTAGTCTATATTGAGATAATGTTTTCATCTTCCTAATATTTTTTCTATTCTATTGTGCTCTTTTATTTATCTGAATCTTGTATGTTGTCTCAAGCCAATTACTTTTGCATTCAGTCTTGCATTGTAGCATGCAACAGCTTTCTTGAAGACCAACTGCTGACTATTAATTAATTATCAACTCTCTTTTATTTTTTTATGTGTTAATTAATTTCTTGAATGAACTATCCACGTACTTTATAGGATATTTTTGTACATTTCAAAAGGTTAAAAATAAATTTAAAAACTTTGGTAACTTCCGATTCTCAACATCTAAAACAGGTTTTACTGGTTTTGATTTTATGCAAAATACAATACTTCAAACATAAAGACCGACCACTATACACAACAAATACAGTGCAGTCTGAAACCTCTTTTTACTCTCCTGTAAAATGTTTGGATAGTTTACCACTGATGTAAAGAATTGAAAAGACTGAATTCTAGAGTAAAGTGCAAGTTTAATTTTAATATCAAAGATACTTTGCGTTTATTGTTATATTGTTTCAGCATTGGCCAAAGATGGGTTCGAAACAAATAATCCTCCATTCCATTGTCTAGTTATTGATGAGCCAGAAAATAGCGGTAAGCAATCAGAACTTTTAATTTAAAACATGATAACAAGGATTAAAATTCAATGATTTTATATTTAAAATAATTTGATGTTATTGTTTACTTAAAACAGTTTCAAGGATTAGGATATAGCATTGCAAGAATGTCAATATGAATTTTTGACAAGATTCATTGAGAATCTGACTAGCTTATATATTTGATAACATTAAAACGCTGTTATATTCTACAAAAGTACATAAATTTAAAAATTAGCAAACTTCTACAAAGTGATAATGATTAGTTAAAATTAATAATTTTTATTGAATGCTTAATAGTTGACCATTGCATTATTAAGAAAGGAGATGGTGAAGGGTGGCGGACATAAATAGACTAAATAGTGGTAAAACTATTTTATTAAAAGCTAACGTTTCACCCTCCTTTGCAGTTCTTCTTCAGGGCTAGAATGGACAAGATACAAAAAGATATAGAGAATTGTGGCAGTTACATCATATTTAGATAAAAAATTATAACCAATGTGAATAAACTTATTAAAATTATAAACATAAGTACATTAAAATATTAAGAACAATAATTTGTATAAACAGGGTAAGCCAAGTAACAAGATCCTAAACTGAAGTAAATATATGGTAACAATTGTTGTAGTATAATAAAATATAATATATGCAATTATGAATATACTCCTATAGATCTGCAGGAGAGATTGGAAGATAAAAACTTAGAAAATTTCTTAAACATATAGGCACATTATAAGTGAAAAATAACTATTTATTACATCTTATTACTTTTACCTATTTTCAATTTTTATTGATTAATTCAATTAAATTGTTTATTATTTTAAGTATTTCTGCTTTGTATGATCTCTCATTTATTTTAATTTTATATTTACATTCTACATCAATGTATCATCCATTTTTAGTTTGTATTAATTTTACTTTTTAATCATTATGTCTCAATATTATCTAATAATTAAATGTTATCTTACATATGTACAACTAAGTATAATTAAAATTATTCATGTTTGTTTCCTCTCTATACTTCTAAATTTGTTCAGTAATGTATGGTCTCTTAATTTTATATTTATATTTCACTTCTATGTACGTTTTACTTTTTTCATTATTCACATTATACTCCTATCTATAATTTCTTAGTTCTATTTTATATGTATATGTGTATATTTATAATTTATTATTTCATAGATATAGTATTTTCTCTTGTATCCATCCATATCTTCAAATTTTAGATACTGTAATTTTCCAGGTTTTTTTACTTTTACTACCTACCCTCTCACCATTACCCAACCAAGTTAACAAGTTTCCCCAATACTTACCCTTTGGTTTTCCAGTTCTAAGTGAAACTCCTTGCTGAACACACCTGTAAGTCTCTATCTTTATTCTACTAATTTTATTTACTAATTTTTTATGTTTTGTTTTTCTTCTGGTTTTCCACATCGCCTTTATATCCATTATTTCATACCATATCCTTTTTCCTTTTCTTCCAATCTCTCCTGTAGATCTATAGGAGTATATTCACAATTGTATATATTATATTTTATTATGCTACAACAATTGTTACCATCTATTTACTTCAGTTTAGGATCTGGTTACTTAGCTTACTCTGATTATACAACTTATTGTTCTTAATATTTTTTTTTCAATGTACTTACTGTTTATAATTTTAGTAAGTTTATTCACATTGGTTTAGAATAGAAGAAATAACGGATATAATTAAAGTAGTGGCTGAGAGCTCCCTTCCGTGCAGAAAAGCAATGGCAGGTCTGGTATCATAGTGGACGCCAGAGCTAACCACTCTTAAAAGGGAGTACCATAGAGCGATATGAAGATACCAAGGGACCAACGATGAAAAGATGAAGATTATACTAAGAGAAGAGTGCAGGCGTAAGTACCAAACCTATGGAAACGGATTGCACAACCAGAAAATCAAATCATGGGATGACTTCTTGTAGAGGAATCAGCAAAGAATCCCTGGGGTATACCCTACAGGTTGGCCCTCGACAAACTGAAGCCTTCACAGATGATGGCAGCAATCACAGTTGGAGCAATAAGGTCACAAACTGCAAAACAGTTGCTACGAACAACAAAGTATGAAATAATTAAATGAAATTGGAAAAGAACGATAAATTACTTTTGTTGTCAAACCATTATAGAAATGAAAAAAATAATAATAAAAAAATAGATAAATATTTAAAATGAATGATTTACATCTGTACCTTAAATTTTTTTTATCTAAATATGATATAACTGCTACAATTCTCTATATTTTTTTGTATCTTGTCCATTCTAGCCCTGAAAGAAGACCTACAAAGTCAGGTCGAAACATTGGCTTTTAATAAAATAGTTTTACCACTATTTAGTCTATTTATGACCGTCACCCCGGACCATCTCCTTCCTTAATAATTTTTATTCTTGTCATTCTTGAAGCCTTAATGTTGGATTACATCATTTGAAACAAACATAGGCAAAATAAATAGAACTGTACTTTAATTTTTGTTTACATAAAAAATCTTGAATGGGGCTCAATTCAAAATTCGCTGGTTCATTTCAATTCAGGATTAATTTTTAAAGCAGTAGATAATAATATTACTTAAAATACTTAATATTTTGTAATGATGCAGGAAATTCAGAAGACAAAGCTCCAAAACTCATTGGATATGCACTATACAGCTTTACATATGGGACATGGGAAGGAAAAAGAATGTGGCTGGAAGACATAATGGTTACGAATAAATACAGAATCAAAGGGATAGGGAAGAGGCTTTTTTCAGCTGTATGCCAGGTAATTGTGATTATTTAATAAATAATGCACATTAGACAAACTATTAACAGTAAATTATTGTAAAAGCTTCTAATTACAATCAAAACTATTAATTAACTTGAAATTATATAAATAAAAAAACTCAGTAATTCAGATGGGTTGAAAAACTATCTAAGTTATACTTCATACAAAGTATCTGATGCATTTATAGCAGGCATCATAAACAAAGCTGTTAACTTGCTATCACCCTCTTCAACCTTTTCGCTTTTTAGTTATAAGATATACTAAGGTTCTGCAACCTCACAAAGTGAGATTCAGCCTCCCTCCTAAGTGATGTGAAATACCCGTCCAAGACTTTTTTTTCTTCTTGTTTACCTTTTAAATTTTGTTAAAAGCTTATGACTTTTATTTCATTATAATTATTTTGTTTAATTGTTGAAAAATTCAATAGATCAAAAATATTGTTACTTGAGCTGTTAATGTATATTATCTGTTTTCAGAAGGCATTAAGAGAAAATTGTAAAGCTGTAAGATTTGTAGTTCTAAAATGGAATCCCGCTATGAAATTTTACCAACAGTTTGGAACCACTAATCTAACTGAAAAAGAAGAGTGGCAGTTTTCTACACTTCAGTACGAAGATGTTTTAAAAGCAGCTAATCTGTTTAAATAGTAATCAAAGTATATCCTTTTTCATGTTTGTAACAGATAATAATGGCATAAAAATAACACCAAATGATTTGTCAAAATCTCATGATTTATATGCAGCTATATATTTTTATTATTAAAGAAGAAATGGATTTGTTAAATTCCTAGAGATCGAATTATGTGCATTTTTAAAGTACAGCAAATTAATTTTTTTATATAAATAATTGTTAGTCGAGCCATGTTTTGTTTTATTTATTTAATCTTTCCTTTAGTATCTGGAAATCTACTGTGTTGGATTAAAAAAAATGTAGAAATAAAGCAAAAAAAGAAAAAAAATCTTCAGATAAGATTGAAGAAACAAATAGTATAAGTTCCAAAGCAGAAGGACTTACTGTACTATGAAAAAATAAAACCTGGACCACTACAATCAATGGAGGGTTTTCGGTTCAGTATTTTGTAAGGAAGTAGTCGGTCAATAGATGTGATAGCCGAGCATGTTAAAATGTAAACTTTAACACTCTCAAGCATAGTGATGCTGGTTCGAATCCGGTCTGGGTGAGTTGAAATTAATTTCGTAACAGACCCATAGAATAAATATCAACCTTCCCACTATGGTTAGAAAAGGTTTGTCAGTACTTCCAGAACAACTTCCCCTCTCCCTATGCCAGAAATGGTGAGGTGTATTGTAATAAAAAAAAAAAGTTTCTTAGTCAACTACTGCGCAAGGATGTGATTTGACTAAGGTGACCAAATTTTAACATTGGTAAAGCGGGACACCACCATTGATCGGGGGAGGAGAGGGGAGGGAGATGTTGTTGTTTAAAAATTTGATTCATTAAGTCCAAGGAACATGTCCAGTTTACAAGCTATAAAGTAATTACGAGTTAGCGTCATGGTCCTTTTAACTCTGGAGCATTAATCCTACCCTCTCTCCTGGCCCAGGAAAATCCCTGCATAGTCTTGAAGGAAAGAAAGGGGTGGACAAATAAATAAAAAAATGATAATCTGGTGCAAATATTAATCAGGTGATAGTATTCAGGACATAGTATTCAGCTGACATAAGGTCGAGAGGTCTTTAGTTCGAAGGGCATATTATTGAGAGCTAATAATTTGATGATGTATTAGATGCCTAATTTATGACTTTAATTATAACAGTTTTTAAGACAAATGTTTTGTGCCAGCAGTTTGTGCAGCTGTTTTTCAAAATGCTAAAAACTTATAGGTGACATTATTTTGGTAATCAAAGTAGTAAATGAAGTTAATTTGCTGATGCCCAAGATTTAACCTTTTCCTTATCAATATATTTTTTTAATAACAGTACTTCATTAAAAAGATCATTTTTTGGTTCCTTATCATCATCATTAAGTCTATACAAGGGTAGTTGAATTCTAACAACTGATCAACAATGACTTTGGTAAGCAGTTCTCGATAACCTATTCTAAACAATTCTTCATTATTATTAAACCTTAACATTAAAAATAAAAATAAATAATAAAACCCATATCTTGGTGAAATAGCAACATGGCTGCCAAAATCATATATTCTCTTTCTGTTTTCCTGCCATTACCTAGCATGTACCTGACATGTATCTTTTTGAAAATCGGAACAGTCCCACCAAAAGTGGTCTGGTCGACTGTCGATCTGGATGCCTGGTCACCTTAGATTTGACCAAAATCACGTTCAGACAAAAGTTCTAACACCGTCAAAGTCAATTCTTTTAAGTTTATAGGAGGAACAAAAAACTGCCTAGTTTTGTTGCTTATGACCTTAGAGTTTATAGTATATTTCAGACAAAAAATATCTTGGAAATATTTGACATATGCTTGGTCACCATTTGATTTAATTGGGGATGAAAAACAAATAGAACTGGCTATCTAACTCATTTTCTTCAGAAATGAGTTAAGCAGGTGTTATAGCTTATGTTGTGACAATATTGTTCTTTAAAATAGAAAATCGTTCAATAATCACAAAAACAAAATTTTAAAATGTATATATATATATATATATATATATATATATATATATATATATATATATATATTGTAACAAATGAATTGAAATGACTTACAGGCTTAAGTGTATGAAAGCAACATTTATAACATTGGATTGGTATGTGCTGGGCTACTGGAATTTTTCTCATTTCTCCCAGCTTACAAACTTCAACATTTCCATAATCAGCAAATCTTATTGTGTATTCACTTGTTTCCAAACATTTCTGTGAAAAAATAACATTCAATTGCTTTTATGTACATTATACAACACAGCAATTTAAATAATTTTAAATAAATAACACTAACCGCTAAAAGTACAGCTCTGTACCATTTATTGTCAAGGTGATACTTAGCAACGCATATATCACCCACTTCTATGGTTGAATCGTGTAAATGAGGAATACTATTATCATATTTTGTGCAAAGGGCTGAACTGATTTCTTGCAACAATTTCTCACCTAAAATAAAATCATAAGTTTTCAATATTAAAAAAATGCTTAAATTCAACTATTGTTAAAGAAAACATCAAGTTTGTAAGAAATTCTTTTCTGACCAGAGACTTAAAAAAATATTAGAGCATGAATTGACCAAACAGTAAAAAAATTAACAATTTTTTTTATAATTTAAAATAAAATGACGTCAAGTATACAATTATATCTTGGAATATAAATAGTTAGGATTTTTAATCATATTTTGTAATTATCGATGCCAAAATTTGGACAAAAGCTCATGATCATCACAGCAAAAATTAAATTAAAATTATAAAAGATAAGGTATATGTGTAGTATAAAAACGAAAGTAAATGAAGAACAAAATAATAATTAACATAAATGAAAGATTAATTATGTAGTAAAGGTGCAAATAATAATAGAAGTAAAACTAGTTAAATAAAACTAGATAAAACATAAGAATAAAGATGAATCTGAAGTTAGGAAAATAAGCAAGTACAACTACTAGGTTAATTGTAATCTACTATTAATATTACTTATTTTATATTTAGTTATTCCATCTTTTCTCTACATACTTATTTAATGATATTCTTTTTAGTTATCAATTCCCAAATAATCTTTTAACATATTTCAATTACTTTTGAAATTTCTAAGATAAGATTTATTCTTATCACTAGTTATAGTCATATTATTATATGCAACCTTATTTCTTAATTTATCTTCCATTTATGTTTATTATTTATCTTTATCTCATCTCTGTGTTCTTATTTTTACTACAGATGAACGTAATCACTTATATTTCTGAGTTTATTTTAGCTCTGATAATGAATCACAAAGCATGAGTCAAAACGTCAGCATCCATAGTAAAAAATATTGCTGAAATTTTTTTTTTTCAAATATTTCCTTTAAAAATATACCAAGCTTATAAAATTTTTTGAGCATAATGAAAATAAAAAAAAAATATTATTGCATGTTTTCCTTTCATTCAAATGAAGGTTGAAAAAATACTAAATAACACATTAGCATCAAATAAGGTAGAAATCTCTGATGCAGTATGATGAACAAACTATCAAAATACTCACTTTTATAGAAATCGTGAAGGTAAACTATGCCATCTTCATCGACAAAAGTAGGAGCTGCAATAAACTCGAATTTAGTAAGTGGATCTGGAGGGATCCAGGATCTAACCATCAGTCTCTCAGGATTTTCAGTTACTGTCTTATCTGTATTGGAATTCTCTTCAACATCGTTTTCCTTTGAAATGAATACATGTATAAAAATTTGATAAAACTAAATAAATTCATTTTATTAGTTATAATGAAATAAGATACCTCATTTAAGTTTAATGAATCTTTAAATAATGCATCTAAAATTGAAGAACCGTCATTATTTACTTTAGGCATATTTAATATGTTTCCATCACTGTCCCATTCAACCCTTGAGCAAAATTAAATAATTAATCTATTAAGAAGTAAATTATGGAAGCTAAACATATACATGAATAAAAAAAATATCATTGTACACCTTAAAATAGATTCACATTAAAAATTAAATAATCAATACATCATTCCTGCTCTGTATTAAAAATTTCCAAGGGACACCTCCTAGGTCTTTGATACAGGTAGGTGAGATACCGGATTCTTCCCAGTATTCAGAGATGATGCGATCAACGTTACCACAACTGGATTTATCACTTAGCCTACTTTTAACACTGCAACTGTTTTTTTGTTACACACAAGTGCAAAATTATAATTGAAAGAAAGTAAATTTTATTCTGGGACATTTAGTCCCCTGAGAATGACTATGATGAACAATGAACTGACAGTTGTCTGGTGATAATGAATAATTAAATGACAATTAAAAATAAATTAATTTACAAAGTTGTTTAACCTTAATATTAAAATAAAGAGAAGACACTGTAGTAAACATATGATCTTGAAATAGACAAATGAATTTAAAGATGAATACATACGGGTGAGTTCACGAATTTGTACAAATAAGCAATATAATACATACATAGATATCTGCAAGGTATGGGTATAATGTAGCTGACATCTCTAAAGAACAAAATAACTTTATTTTTACATATATTCGGAAGGTTGATTATTGGGGAGATGGATAGATAAATTGTGCTTAAATGAGGTCAAGGATGGGGATTTCCGTACAGAGGTTGGTACAAAATTCCAAAACGAGGTAGCACGTATACCGAAGGATTTTTTAAAGGAAACAGTTCTATAAGAAGGAATAAACAAATTTGATGATTGGGTCTTGTGTAGAACGAATCAAGAAGGTAAGAAGGGTTTTTGGTTGTAAAGGTTCGGAAAAGGAATACACCTAGGAAATATTGCTGTCGGAAAACTGGATAGAGTCACTTCAACTCGGCATAACACCTGGAGACGTGGGAGCGCTTGGGGACTCCAAGTATAAATCTAATAAAACAATTCATTAGCCTCTTTAATCTTATCTCGAGCCCACCAAAATGCCATAGGAATGGTCCAAAAGAAAGGAAATTGGTTGCCAAAGAATTAAAACCAAGAAATTTAGAATGGAGATTTTTCATAGCTGTTCAGAAGGCTAACACATAAAGATTTTTCTTTTGATCAAATCTTAATGGTGAGGAAAATTGGATTTACAACAAAAAGCCAAACTATAACAAATCATAGGATAAGCCCAACCTAATCAACAGCAAAACTAAGTATTCATGAATTAAAGCACCATGCTCTGCATTAGGCAGGTTTAGCTGGGTGTAATCCTAGTATTCTTGGCTTACTTTCAGTAATTATATTGATGATTTTTAAAAAAATAACAAAAAAAGAAATTGATTTCTTACATTCCATCAGCCTTAGCCAATCCAATAAATCTAAGATAATGATTCAGACTTTTCCAATCATCTTGCATAGGTTCGGTAGGGCCAACATCTAAAGGTGTCCGAGAAAACAGCTCTATTGGCAGAGAATCATCTCTTATTTTCCCCTGAGAAAAAAAAAAATGAAAAAATTCTATAGTTTTTTATTTCAATGTTAAAGAATAATTGAATCAGATTTTTCAGAAACAGCACATGTGTAATTTCTATCGGTTTTGAGTTGACTTCTTCAGAGTAAATAATTAATTATAGACACATCCCATAATTCAAGACAACACATTACTTTAATAATGTTAAGATTGAACGTTTTTTTCTATATATATTTTGTAGATACCTATGAAAATTGTATTATAAAATAGTTTTTTTGGATGATTTTCAGAACTGTAAAAATGTTATGTTTTTGAAATAACTGATTAAATAAACTAGCATTCCATAACATTAAGATATCCGCAAGCACAGTTAAAAAAAACCATCTTACAGCCTAGGAAAGTGTCATAGTACAGTATAATCTCCTTAATGCTGCCAGAGAATTCTATTCCTGAACCATGTTTTTTTCTCTCTTTCAGTCATCTATCTGGTTTTAGTAAAAAACAAGTAAATGCTCAGTTTTTGCAAAGTTTGATAAATGTTCAACTGTTTATTTGACAATTACAAATTTAAAAAATTTCATACCTGTATGAACCTTTTGATTATCGAAGTTTAATTTTAATGAATGTTCGAAAATAGCTGTTGTCCTCCAAGGGCGACAGGTTCCCTCCTGATTGTTTCATATATTCCTTTAATGATGTCTGTAGCATTCGTCGAATTAGTGCATCTTGAGTGTCTAATTTTACTTTCTATACTTCATCTCTAAACCAGCCCCATAAACAGTAATCCAATTCTGTGAAATCTGATCTTGGAGACCAACTAATTGGACCACTGCGACCAATCTAATGATCTGAAAACTTTTCCTTTTTTGTCCTTTTATGATTAAGCATATAATATTTAGAAGTCAATGGTTGTATTTTCGAACATTTATTAAATGTATGACTTCCATAATTGAGGTGCTAATACATTTATGAAATATTGCTTATTTGAAAACTTTTGTTATCATAGTCCATGGTACAGACCCCTTTTTATCAAATCATTAATATCCTCCGAAAACTTCATGAACTGCTTCATCTTATCATAATGTACAAATTTGTATTCCAAGGAAATCCTCAGAAATGAGACATTTTCTCATTAAATTAATTAAATGAGTTACTAAAAACTCATAAATACCCATTTTTTCTTTCCACTTGAATCGTAAGATAATTTGATCACAAAAACGGAAAAAAAAGTGGCCTACAAAAATATTGGGCCGTTTGGCCTATACAATATTCCTTTCTGATGTGTTGGGGGTGGAGATCATGCCCAATGGTCCAATATTTTAGTAAACCACCTTTTATTTAGATTTTGTGATCAGATTATCTTACGATTCAAGTGGAAATCAAATGGGTGTTCATGAGTGTTTAGTACCTTATTAGACAAAGTTTGCTGATCTCCAGATTGAAAACGTCCCAATTCCGAGAATTTTCATAAATAAGAAATTTGCAGATTACGATGAGATGAAGCTATTCACAAAGTTTTGGAGGGTGTTAATAATTTGATAAAAAGGGGTCTGTACCCCGGATATTAGCTCATAAAATTTAAATAAAAGCAAATCGGATAGAACAAATGAGATTATTAATTATTTCCATGTGTGCAACCCATTCCTGGAGTTTGGCTCATTCTTACTGACTCACTGTATATCCACCTATGATAATTTGTTGCTCACTTTGACTTTAATTTAATTTATTTTATAATTACTTTTCTATGTAACAGTAGTTAAATTAATTAAGTGAAATTTATACTATAAATAAAAATACTTCAGAGAATACATACTAATTGACTTATATAGAGGCTATCCTTTCTGTTATTTACAAATTCTTCAAATTCGGAAACAGACAGTGCTGACCACTGATTAAGAGTAGGTTCTAATCCACCAAGATGACATTTTACAACACCATCTGGTACTTCAGCGAAACTGTTATCCATAATGTCGATATTTTTACAATCTACTATTTTTTCACAGCCTTCGTCAACTAAATTAACCTGAAATAGAAAAAAAAAAAAAAAAAAGATACGAATAACAAAGTTAACATTCAGCAACTTGAGCAATATTTAAGCTTGTTAATAATAACTTATATCATTTACTAAATTTATTGATTAAAAAGAATTTGTACAAACAATTATTATGTAAAGCTGAGCACTTAATAAACTAAGGTAAGAAACAGAAATATAAGACAAAAACTTTATAATTGAAAATTTAAGTCTTATATTAAAGTGCTAATGTTGTGTTGTATTCACTTATTTTTACTACTGCTAATTTATTTTAAAAAAAAATTAAATTTACACATGATAAATCCAAGTTTTGTAATTCTAAAGATGCAAAGTATTATTTTTGATTAATACTCAAAAACATATCTCTCAAGATAAATAGAAGTTTAAAAAAAATAGATTTAAAAAGAAATTGGTCGAAGTGCGGTCAGTCGAAATACTATATGAGCTTTTCAGATGACAGAATTACTAACTCCAATTTCAACATTTTTTAATACTAATGTTAGTGATATTACTAGAAAATGTAGAATGATTAAAAATTCCATTAAAATATACAAATTAATATTTACTTTTATAAATGAATCATTTGGTAAGATTTGTAATATTATTGCTCTATGCCAGGTGTCATCACAATTCACAACACATCTATCATCAACGACCCAGGATTTTTGACTAGAGTTCATTCTTCTGTTTCCATAAAATTCCTGGAGGTCAAATTTTAATCTGAAAATGAAACAAAACTTAAAATACAATAAATTTTAAATTACTGAAGAAATAATAGTATCTAAACCATATATTTTTTAATAAAAAAAAAATTGTTTTGTTTTAAATACTTAATATTTTAACATATTTATTTGTAATGTAACAGTTCACAAAATATAAAATAATGAATTAAATTATACATTAATGAAATGAAATTGCATTTAGTTACTAACTTATCAACTCTTTCTTGGAAACAGGCAGGCATAACATAAAATTCTCCAGGATTGTGAATACTTTTAACGGTCACTTTAGTTCTAACCACACCTTCGGGCATCATAATGAAGAAGTCCGTCAGATGAGAATCGCCATCAAATTTAATAGGTTTAGTCATTTTCTTACTAACTTTTTTTTTTTCTACTGCCATAATCTGAAATGTCTAATGGAAATATTTTTATTAAAATCCAGCTAAATCACTGTTTAAAAAATATTTCAAATTATTAATAGCTGATGTAGCAGAAAAATATGATAACTCTGAATTTGGGCAACTAAGTTTCAATTTTTAATACTGTATCCTAGTATGTAATAATAAAAGAAATTTATCAAAGACTAGTGAATTGAAGAAAAAATATATTTATTTAAAACAAAAAGAAACGTCCAACAAATAATAGTTATATTAACATTTCGAAATATTAAAAACTGGCATCCTAAAAATAAAGCTGTGTTTTTCTAAAACACCAACCGACAAATGAATGTAAACAAATTCAGGTGATTTAATTTTTTTTTTTTCTGTAAGTAGTCAATCTAACTCAATTTTAAAATAAAACTGAGTTTTTATCTATTTTTTATCTTTTGGCCAGAAATAATATTTATTTTTTATGGCTTTGTCTGAGTGTTTTTGTTCCAAAATAAATTTTTTTCTATTCTATTTCTCCTGCAATGAGCCAAGAGTTGATTTTTCTGAGATTTCAGATCTTGTCAGGGAAATGTTGCTATGGAAAACTATAGGGAAACAAGTGCCTCAAACTGGTTTTCCAAAAGTTCAATATAATAATTTTCAGTCATGTAATCTTGTTATTTTTATCTACGAGTATAAGATCTCTCTTCTACAAAGATCATGCAACTTCACAGTCTATGTCAACAGGTACTTTAAATTAAAAAAAAAAAAAAAAAAAAAAAAAAAAAAAAAAAAAAAAAAAAAGAAGAATATTATTCAAATACTTACTTGGATTCAAACAAAAAAAGTTCCGAGTTGAGCATTAAAAAAAAAAAAGGTTATATGAGTAATATATTTTTGTAGAACTCAAATTAATCAAAATAATTTAAGAGAAATGAATATAGATTTAAAAAAGATATTTACAATGTATTTTTTTGTTCTTCAGAAATTAATTTTATATAAAGTAAATACAATACAATTCCAGACATGTAAACTTTGGTAATCTGAACTCGTGAAAAGAAAAAAAGGAAGAATTGGTAGATGAGAATTCTGTTTTTTTTTTTTTCCGGTTGGCGCTACAGACTTTGTAGATCTTTGACCGCGAGATGTGGTCTTTTATACCACATCTCGAATCCTGATTTAATTGCACGGGGGTAGGGTCATCAGTCCTACGCCCAGAGAATTCTGTTCAGAAAATGAATAAGAGAGCAAGAAAGACATTTCTAAAGAAGCCCTGCTACCTACGCAAATTTCCAAGACTTTTAATAGCTTATATTTAAATGCAAGAACAAACAACCTTCCCATGATTATTTATCGAGATTCCTTATCTTCTTTCATTAAAACATAAAGAAAGTTAGCCAACTCCATAATGCAGGGTCTTATTTTAATCAATGTATTTAAATAAAACAATAAACAATAGAGGGTCAATCCATTTGAAATCAACCAGACCATGTTGCTCAACATTTTTTATTTTTTATAATTTTTTTACCAGTTATTCCGTATTTATTTGAGAGTTCAAAACCATCATCATCATCATCATATGTGGCACAACATCCCGTTACCGAGACTGGGCCTCCTCCAAGAGCCTCCGCCAGTTGGCTCTATCTTCTGCTGCAGCTCTCCAGTTCCGTACACCAAGCAGGGTTCTCGCATCATAGGCCACGTTGTCCAACCATCTCGTCCTCGGCCTTCCTACCCGTCTTACGAGGTGCAGCTCCTCCATCATTATTTTTTTTGGTATTTCAACGGTGCTCATTCTGGCCACATGCCCTGCCCCCCTTAGTCTGGCCAGTTTAATATACGTGACTACGTCGATGTCTGCATAGAGAGAACTGAGCTCCCTATCTTTTCTTTTCCTCCAGACATCACCCTCCTTTACTGGACCATAAATCCTTCTGAGGACTCCTGGCTCAAACACACTCAGCTTCATCTCATCGTGTTTGGTCATCGTCCAAGCCTCTGAGTCATATGTCAAAACAGGCCGAACAAGAGTCTTGTATATGATCAGCTTGGTCTTCTTTGAGAGGTACCTACTTCTTAAGTGTCGGCCAAGTCCATAGACACATCTATTGGCAGCCGTGATCCTTCTTTGTATTTCTTGAGCCATGTCATTTTTGCTATTAATTTCAGACCCAAGGTATATAAAACTTTTCACTCTCTCAAACTTAAAAGAACCTACTTCAAATGGAGAGTTCAGATCCACCTCACCACCAACTCTCATATACTTAGTTTTCCTCTCGTTGACTTCTAGACCAAGTGCTCTTGCAGCTGCTTCAAGGCCTATAAACGCTTCTCTGAGAGCCTGTTCAGACCTACCTATTATGTCAATATCATCAGCAAAACCAAGAAGCTGTGTCAGGCGATTGAAGATTATATCGTTGGTCTGAATACCGGAGTCTCTTACAGCTTTCTCCTCTGCCAAGTTGAACAATAGACAGGCGAGGGCATCCCCTTGTCTAACCCCACTGCTCACTTTAAACTCTTCGGAGTCGTCAGAACCGACGCGTATTCTACATCTCGAGCTGTCCATGGTCATCTTGATTAGGCGTACGAGCTTCTGAGGGATGCTTAGCTCCTCCAAGGCACAGTATAGTTGCGTTCTATCAACGCTGTCGTATGCTGCTTTAAAGTCCAGGAATAAATGGTGGGTGACTACCTTACGCTCCATAGTCTTTTCTAGGATCATCCTCAGAGAGAACAGTTGATCAGTGGTTGAGCGTCCTCTTCGAAATCCAGCCTGATATTTCCCCAGTTCCTTTTCAGAATACGGGAGGATCCTGTCAAAAAGAATGTTAGAGAGCAGCTTATAAGCACACGAAAGGAGTGAGATTCCTCGATAGTTAGCGCATTCTGTTTGATCTCCTTTCTTATGTATTGGGCAGATAATGGCTGTTGCCCATTCCGTAGGCATAGCTTCCCTCTCCCAGATGGTCAGCATTAAATCATGCAGAGCTTTCTTGAGTTCTTCACCTCCACATTTCAACAGCTCTGACTGGATTCCGTCCGGGCCTGGCGCCTTTCCATTTTTCCATTTCCTCAGGGCGTTTTCCATTTCCTCCTCATCAGGGGGTTCAATAGAATTCAGGGAGTCTTCCTCCATTACTCCTACTTCTCCAGGAATCGTTCCTCTGTTTAATGCGCCTTTGAAATGTTGTACCCATCTCCTTAGTACGTCATCTTTGTGGCTTAAAAGAGTTCCATTCGTGTCTTTGCATGCCGCCACTCTGGGCCTGAAAGCTGCCCTACCCTCGTTTATTCTCTGAAAGAACAGGCGACTTTCATTTTGGCCTCTGTGTCCTCCATGTTCTTATTTTCCCAAGCTCTTCTCTTTCCGCGGAATAATCTCTTCTCTTCGCGTCTTTTTCTTCGATATGTTTCTTGGGAGAGCCTTGTGGGACGCTGAACCTTCTTTCTGTAGGCTTCATTTTTCACTTTTACTGCTTGAAGGCACTCAGCATCAAACCATGGGGGCCTTCTAGATTTAGTCTCGTTGCCAAGAGCTTCTTCTGCTGCCTGTTTCATTGCATTGCTGCATCTCTTCCACTGTTCATCGACCATAGAGCTGTCATTAATTACTTCTTCATTAAGTTTCGTCTCCACAGCTTGTTGATACGAATATTGGTGGTCTGAGTCCTTAAGTTTAGCCACATCAATCTTCTTCTTTGGTCGTTGGTAGTGGTTTTTACTCAGCGAAATTCGTGATCTGACCTCGGCAATGCTCAAATAGTGATCCGTGTCCATATTTGCACCTCTATAAGATCTTGCATTTATCATGTTGGACTTGTGACGGGCACTAATGAGTACATGGTCTTATGGTTCAAAACCATAGTTAAAAAAATTTTGAGGGTCATAGTTTCTCAGCGGCCATTTTTAATTTTATTTTCAACTGAAAATATGTTTTGGGAAAATGCTTGTAACTATGGTTATTTTGTAGCCATTTTATGTTATCAAGCCAAAATAATTTAGAGTATTTTTCTCAATTTCTGTTGCTCAATACATCACCTAAAAAGAAAGGAAAGTGGTTTAAAAAAATCACGAATATAGACAAAAAAAAGGTGTAATAAAGAAAAGTCTCAACTTTAATTTTTTTTTCATATGTAGTCCTACCACTGTACTTCTTGGTGATGAAATTTCAATCTAGAAAATCTTGTCCTTTTTTAAATTTAAATTTTCAAAAAACCTGAAAAGTCATTTTCAACAATTTTTGATGTTATATATCACAAAAGGGACTGAGTGAAAAATTATGAAATTGATACAATTTATACCTTTTAATGATAGGAATGCGTGATATGAATTTGATCATTGAAACTCAACTGGTTCTATTAGTTATAGCGCAACAAATATGGCTGACAAGTGTGAGTTGGTATCAGCGTATCCTACCAACTCTAACTGTGGCATTTTTGCAGATATCAAAACAAAACAAAAATGAGATATAATTTTCGAGTAAAACATCATAATAATTTTAGTTTTTGTTTTGTTTTGATATCTGCAAAAATTCCGCAGTTAGAGTAGGTAGGAAGGATACGCTGATAACAACTCACACTTGGCAACCATATTTGTTGCGCTATAACTAATAGAACCAGTTGAGTCTCAATGATCAAATTCATATAACATATTGCTATCATTAAGAAGTATAAACTGTATCAATGTTATAATGTTTCATTCAGTCCCCCTTTTATGATATATAACATAAAAAATTGTTGAAAACGACTTTTGAGCGTTTTTGAAAATTCAAATTTAGGAGAACAAGGAGGTTTTCAAAATTAAAATTTCATCAGCAAGAAGTACAGTGGTAGGACTACATGTGAAGAAAAAATTAAAGTTGAGGCTCTTTTCTTTATTAAACTTTTTTTGTCTATTTTCATGTTTTTTTTATACCACTTTCCTTTCTATTTAGGTGATGTATTGATCAACAGAAATATAGAAAAAACACTTTAAATTATTTCAGTTTTTATTTTGGTTTGATATCTACAAAATAACTATAGTTACAAGCATTTTCCCAAAACATGTTTTTAGTTGAAAAGAAAATTAAAAATTGACGCTGAGAAAAAACTATGAGCCTTAAATTTTTTTTTTAACTAAGTCTTTGAACTCTCAAATAAATATGGAATAACTGGTAAAAAAATGATAAAAATCGAAAATGTCAAGCAACAACAAAATTAATTCAAATTGGATGATTGAGTATACATGTTTATGTATACTTAACTTTTCAGTAATCCTCCCTATTGTCACTATTTTAGTTAATTTAACAATGAAACATTTCTTAAAATTTTTACTTAAATCCTAAATCAATTAATTAAGAAAAACATATTTTAGAAAATACTCAAATTCTGATTGCTTTAGTTAATAGATGAATTTGAGTATTTTCTGAAATATGTTTTTCTTAATTAATTGATTTAGGATTAAAGTAAAATTTTTAAAAAATGTTTCATGGTTAAATTAACTAAAATAGTGACAGTAGGGAGGATTTAGATTAGTAAAAAGTTAGTTATAAATATATATGTATACTCAAGGGAAAACATTTAATTTTTATGTATAATTAGCAATTGTTTTCTATAAAAAAATTCATTTAGTTCACCAGAGTAAAAATAAAATGGCATTTTTTCCTTATATCTCAATTTAATTAATAATTCAATGCAAGGAAGTAAATGAATACTGATTTAATAAAACTGTAGGTGGATAAACACAAGGTAAACAGAATTGAATTCATATAAAATGACAATTCCTATAGATAAAAAAATTTTCTTACCGGATCTATTGGTTTTTCTGAAATTTTAGGGAACACAACAAGAACAGAGCTGAAAAAAATAATTGATTAGAAAAATGAGACGAAATAGTACTCGGAAGTTTAGTATTTAATCACTCACTTGGGTCCAGTGCTCATGGCTAAACCTTCTTTCACAATCTTGGCATTAATACATATATCAGCTTCCTTAGAAACTTCATACAAAACAACAGTTAACTCTCCAACTCCTACACTTTCTACAAGTAATTTAAATTGCTTATCAAACACTAATTCATGAAATTCAGAACATATTTCTTCATTCCAACAATCTGTTCCACCAAACGGGTACACATCAGATAGAGTACATTTGAGAGCCTAAAATTTACAAAATATGATTAAGTTAATTTTATTGAATATGATAAAATAAGCAAATAAATATATATGTAATAATATTTGCCTGGGCAGGGAGATAGCAAAATCTTTGTAATAACAATTTAATATTATCACAAACTAATGTCTCTACATTCCCAAAATCAATGAAAAATATTTTAACTTTTCTTCCTTCAAGATAGTCTAAAATTTTTCCTCGATACCAATTTGAATCTTTACTATAACAAGCAGCAACAAGCATACCTAATAAAACAAAAATATTAATTTTTAAAAAGGGCAAAATAAATAATCTGTTTATATTTTTTTAATTTTATTAAAGACCAACCTTTTTTAGGATCATAGATGGCATTCTTTTGTGAATTCTTAATACCATAGGCTCTTTGCAAGTCCTCAGCCAATTGTGTAAGTTTTTTACCGTTCGTTAGCTACAACATAATATTATTAAATAAACTTGTGAAAATGTAAAAACAAATTAAATATTGTGAAACTTACATCTTGAACATAAAAAGTATGAGGAGAATCAACATATGAAACATGCCCTTCGAAGACACTTCCCTCATTGTAACTCTGCTGAGGTGGTGTTGTTAGAGTCTGTTGCACACTAATATCCTAATGAAAAAATATTATATAAAGAGAATGAAAAAAGAAAATTATAATTTCAAAAGATTTTAATCAATTATTAAAATTAAGGTGAATCAATTTGATTGTACTAATTACAAAATGTTTTCAAGAATCTTCAATACTAAAAAAAATAGAGATATCATATGTAATACTGATTGTTATACTAAAAATTTGGGCTGCATGTATTTCACTATTTCTTTATTGATTTTTTCTACCTTGGCAACATTTCGGCTTAGACTGCTATTTACAAACCATCTATAAAGACTTAATTAACCATTATTTTTTTATAAAATCAACATTTAACTTGATACAATAGTGATGTTAATCATCAATTAAATTTAGCATTGAATAATCTTATCTCAAATGGGATTGGGTCAATAAATTAAACTACATATTATAATTACATAATTTTTTTTAAAAAGTTGAATAAGAATATTTTATTACATAAAAACTATAGGTGGAAAGGTAAGGTCAACTCAACAATTGGTCCTTTTTTTTTTTTTTTTTTTTTTTGCTCCGACATGGGGGGAGTGGAGTGCACCACGGTATCAAAAAGGCCTATTGTGCGTCGTCCTAAACTCAGTTAAAACAGGCCAGATGCCTTTGTGAACCTATTGATACTGATGGGATCAATCAGTTCAGCGTGCTTAGGGTCAGTGATATGATCACATCCAAAGCGATCACATTTGCAAATAATGTGATAGGCCATTTCATCTTCCAGGCCATATAGCCTGCAGGTGGAGGTTTCACTTGCACCCAAATTGAAAAGGTGCTTATTTAATAAATAATTTTTAATAAAAAATAAATTTAATAAATAGGTCCTTAATGAATTATAATTTACTTATTTAAATTAATGATACTCATTTATGTTGTTTCTCATTATACAACATGTTAAACGTTATGTCCATAATCGGATTATTATCTCCATGGGAGTTTGTAGTTGGGAGGTTATATGTTGTTATATTATTATTTATTTCATGTACTGTTAAAGATCTTTGTTGGGGCCAGGGGTACTTCAAAATCGAAGTACAGATCTTTCCCCAGTGCGTTTCCTCAATGGTGGGAAAATTCGAGAAAAATTAAAAACGTTGGGAAAGAGGGGAAAAAAAATTAATGAATAATGAGACCTGTAAAACATTAGAGAAAAAAACAAATGCATGCAAAGAAAATATTAAAAAATAGAAATATTCAATAAATCAAATAATGGAAAAATGAAAATCCCCTTTTGAATGTGTACAATTTATTGAGAAAGAGAAAGAGATATAAATTTATATACAATAGTTAAAAAAATAAATAAAGAGTAGAATGAATTTCACTGAAATGAAAAAAACACAAAATATAAATCAGTGAACATAAACCCAAAATTACAATTATTAATAAAGAAAAAAAGAAATCAATTTCTGGACTAAAATTAAAACGAGAGATAAAAATGATGGTCCAAAAAAATAAACTAGTCTAGCGAAGAAAACAGTTAATTAATATTTAAATGTCTTGGTGAGAATAGAAAACACAAGCCAAGTTGGAGGTTCTGCTTCCAACCTGTTACCTTCCGATATACAGCTGTCGAGTAATCGATGGTGGGGTCGTATCGATATGTATCGATTACTCAGCTGCGCCCAACAGCTGATCTTCAAAAATGGCGTTGGTGATGTGAAGGAGACTAGACGGCCTGGAGCTTGGTGAGATTGGTGGGGGTAAATTTCCACTACATGGGTCTAATGTCGACAAGAGCTATCTCCAGACTTCCGAAAAAAACAACAAGGCACTTATACTAGGCCGGTGGGGTTTGAGTTAACTGGAGTGGCTGGTGAGATGGTGAGAGAAATTGTCCACTACGTGGACCCAATAACGAAGGCCCACTCCAGACTAACTTAAGACCGCATGCTGACAGTCTTATGGCATTATTTGTGTCTTAATCCCTAAGACAGCGTATTAGTGCTGGGCTGTTGTGTATACAAATGCGATAATACATCGCAGAATAAACCTAAATCTATAAACAGTGGACACCAAAATACATTTTTGGGATAATATCCCTCGGCCGATTACAAAAAAAATAATAAATATTTATTGAATTATTAACATTTAAAAAGGGTTATTGGTGAGAAAAAATAAATAAAACATGAGCCTATGCGGCGTTAACAATCTTGTTAAATTAAAATTCCAATGTTGTTTGATCACGGTAATTTAGTGTGAGCCAAATATTACCCATTGACCTGTAATTGAATTATATTGCGCTGGTGATTGTGAAAATTGGTGTGGGCTGTATGAGGTTGGATCAATGAAATTTGATACATGGTTAAATTAAATGAATGATTCAAAACATTGATTATATTGCATATTACTGAATACAAAGAAATGGAATTTGCGCACTTTACAATTTTGCTATTAAAAGATAAAATAAATATTTCTATTTTTAATTGGTGAAGGTGAAATTAAAATTTGTCATATGACATTGCCATGTTGGAAGTGATTTTGCTTCTCATAACATTTTGTGGTAATTGGACTCACTTCCTGTCTGAAATTGAGCTTCGTTTTTTGGCCTCCACTTCTTCCTCCCCCAGGCTGTTTTCTTGAGGTTTAGCAACTCATTTTTTCTTTCTGTTATAATTTCTAGTCAAATAGAATGAGAGTGTGCACATTTCATCAAATGAATGGGTTTAACTGAATAGTAATAGTTTGCAGCGAAATGAAGGCCAATAAAATGGTGGTGAAGTTGAGATTATGTAGAACTGTTTTAATTTTTTTTTTTTTTGGTGTTTCATGAACGGTTCCTTTTCAAAAATGGCCAAGTCATTTTCGGCGAGTTTAAAATTTGAATATCATAAAAGGGACTGAATGAAACTAGAACATTTCATAAAACTTTATAATGTGGCACAAATTTCGTGAGTGAGACTCAATCGGCTCCAGAGTTAAATTGCACCCTAATATGTCTGGACAATGCGTTATTAAAACGTTAAATCAGTATCATGGAATATGAAATAATGGAACTGAATTGAATTTTTGTCTATAGACAAATTCTATGGTAGGTTTGTAGTTTTTCGATTGCCTTCAATAAATTATTTGTTAACATTTTTCATCCAGTGTTTTGGTTAAGACTTTGAACATAAGTGTAGTTAAAAACACTTTTTTTTTTATGTATTTTTTAAATATTTCATAAGATGTATGAACTAGGCTATTTACTTCTAAGTGATTAAAGGTCTCTTGTCAATTATATTATTGAAAATTATTATAATACAAAAATCTCACTTACTGTCGTTTGGCTAAGCATCTTTGTCATCGAAGCTAATTCATGGAAGACTAATGATTGACGAAGATTGATAAAAGAATTTTCAGTCACTTTATGCAAATCTACTACATACGAAATATTAGTTTTGTCGATGACAGTTATAGTAACAAAATCACTAAAAAAAAATTAAACAATAATATTAATAAAAAACATATTATTTTTAAAAAAATAAAACATATTTATATTTTCATTACTCATCCATGATTTCAGTCATCAGAGAAATAGCCTGGGCATCCCATTCTTCTCCATACCTAGGCACACAATCTGCCAACTGACATCTATAAGCCAAACATGGCATGTTCAGAGATGATTTTGGAATACTTCTTATCCTGAAATTCACATTAATAGAAACTGCATTAATTTTGAAACTAGTATTATACAAATATCAAAATAAAGTCCTGATGGCAAATGGGTCTAATATAAATCATTAATAAACATAGACAATAGATAAGTAAATATATTTACCTAGATTTGTCAACAATTTCAGAATTGCCATAATCAACATAAAATACTTCAAATTTCCTGGGATCGATAATATTAGTAATCCTGGATCGGTACCACTTGCTGTCAGCTCCGTACAGTGTCAAATAAAGTTTACCTGAAACATTGTTTAGAAAGAAATGAATGGCTTCATATCAAAGAATGGACACCTGTCATTTTCAGCGGAGAAAAAGTTAATTTATGTGTTATAGATTCAATACGAACTGTTTGATGATTTTATTTATAAATGTTCAAGCTGAATCATGAAAAAAAAATTGGTTTAAATTGAAACTGTGTTGCAGAAAATGTTTTTTTTCTCAAGTTTTTTAATTTGACAGATGTACATCATTCATATTAAGGCACTCCAATATGGATAACAGATTTCTGAAAAAAATTATTAAAAAAAAAAAGTTGTCTTCATATATTCTGGCAGAAGTTCTTCAGTATTAAAAATTTCATAAAACTTAAAAATAAATAGTATAAAAAATGCATATATACACATTTACAAATTAAGATCAGAAATGTCTGGACGATATAATTAACTGTCACATTTTATGGAACTACAGATCCTAACTTAACTTCAGAAAAAATTGACTTATCTATAAAAACTATACTGAGAGCAATATGGACATATAGTGCAGAACTTTAGGTTTCAGCAACAAACAAGTACACATAAACAAAATACAAAAAACACAATCTAAAATTGTTAACATACCATGGTACATTTCAAATCACAACATACATAACGAGATAAGCATTGCAACAATAAAATCTTACATCTATGACAAATATTGTATCTTTCACTTTTTAGCTTTCAGTTTACTAATTCTTTCCTCCTCTCTGTTACCAGGCCAACGCAGGTTAAAAAGAAAATAGCCAAGACAACTGTAGCTTCATCAAAAAAACAGAACTAAATCAAGACCATTATCAAGCAGAGTTGAAGTAACTAAACATTTACATCAAATTCATTATCAAACATTACATCAAATAAAAAAAAAGCCTAATTAAAATTCTTGGAGAACTAGAGGGATAGGAAATGATTCAATGAGTGAGATTAAAAATTCACTATATTTGGAGAATGAAATGGAATAAACAGAAGAGTGAGAGGACCAGATAAAGATAGAAAATGCTTCCAAATGCTAAAGTACGAGCAAACAATTTTTTATATAAACCTAATGGTATAGATAATGGACAGAGAATTTAAAATAAATAACATCGGAGATGTATGATGGATGGTTAGAACACGAGGTATGATTTTAAGGAAGTGATTGGAACATATAATTGCCTTTCTTTGTCTTACCTACATTCAACTTCCAGCTTTTTTACCATAGCCCAATGACACTCAGTTCAAATCTTTTCGTTTTTTGGGGGTAAAGTACGATAAAATATTTAGAGATGATAGGCAACTACTTGTATTGGAGGCTATCCATCTATGACAAAAACTCTAAATGATCTGAGAGGAAGAATTTGAACCAGCACATTGCATTGCTTATACTATACTTAAACATTTATAATATTACCTTTTTCTGGATTATATGGAGGTTTATATTGCTGAACTTGTGAAGTCCTCAGAGATGCTTGAAATTCAAGTAATTTCTTCTGAGCATTCTCTCTCTGAACGTAAAAATGTGAGGGAGATATTAGGTGACTTATACGGACCCTGAGTGAACAACCTGAAGGAACATACACATCACATAATTAAAATGTTTACTATAATCAAATCAGTAATAATTTATTTGGAAAATAGATATTTTTTTTTATTAATTATACCACCTACCCACAGCTATTTCATCTGCATAAAGAAGAGTCTTTGGCGGATGATCACGAGTCTGTGATGAGTAAGATTTTTCACTAGTTAGAGAAGGTGATGGACTGATTGTTCCTTCTGAAGGAGAAGGAGGGGTTGAATCTAAAACATAATATCTATTATGCTAGACACTTTTTAGAAACTAAATAAGTAACTATACAGTACATCTAAAGCGGTAAGGAAACAATTCAAAATCTATAGATAGGTAAAGATAGATAAAGAAGATGATATAGCAGCAGCCTGTTGCAAAAATAGAAAACACAGAACTTCTTATGGTTGCGCCTAATATTAGACTAATTTAAAATTTCTGAATAATCATTAAAAGCTATATTGTGTAAAGTAAATGAAAGTTATGTTTATAAGAAAACAATTAGAGATGCTCAAATAAACCAAACATCATTCTCTATAAAAAACTACATATAAATATAAGAAATTTCAGCTAGTTTCTTACCAACAATAAGATAGGGTTTTTTCAGTAACTGCAGAACTTCATCCCTTGTAAGATCCTTAATGGGTGAAACCTTATAATCAGTTGGTACCTTTTCTTTTGTGACTAATTGGTACCGAGGTCCATCCACTAATTCCAAATCACAATGTTTTTCCAAAATGTTTATAAATTCTTGATCAGCATGAAATCTATGTTACAAAAAAACAAATAGAAATATTTTTATTTAATTAAATTAAGGATACTTATATATTGGCCATTAATACACCAGGATTATAAATTAATTTAAATTAAGGAATACATAATAAAATAGAGTAACATACACAAATATTTTCAAAATTAAGTCAAAATAAACTCACAGTTACATGAAAGGAAAATAAAAAAAATATATTTAACTTTTTTTTTAAAAAATGAAAAATGATGAATGAAGAATCAGTAAAAGGCCTTCATATTACTTCTCAACTATTTATTTGCTTAATGTTCAAGGTTGGCTACATAAAAATAGCATCAACTTTTTTGATCTTTTGTATTTTTTTTTTATTATGAACATTTGATTAGTTTTCGTTAAATTTCATATTATTTTAGATAAATGAACCAAATTAAGGAATAATAACACATTTATGTTCATATAATCAACTAATATCTACAATATAACAATTTTTCAAAAGAAAAACAAATTTAATCTGATAGTTTAATGAATATTATGTTATTTAAATATAACAATATAAATATATTGATCATTCTTTGCAGAAGAATAAGTAATGAATGCTTAAACGCTGTATCTCTACACCAAATTGCCCAGTGTCCATGACTTTTTTAAAAAATGTTTTGTAGAGAATTCAGGAAGCTTTCAGATACATATAGGTATAATGAACAAAAAATGATATAATTTTTAAGTTATTAGCAAATTATGAATTCATCGTAACGTCTCGATCCATCGATTTGGCACCATCACATGGTTTCAAACTTCACACTTTAACATTCAATTTAATTTAAGTTCTAGTATAAAACTGAGAACCAAAATTACGAGTCGCACATTCTGCGTTACATTCCTTGACTATTGATACCTTATTCGTCAAAATACATACTCAAAAGAGCCGGAAAAGGAATCTATATTCAGAAATAATATATAGAAAAGAAAACAAGATAATCTCCCTATTTTGAATAAAGATTATTTATTTTAGTCAAAGATTTTGGGATTTTAAAGTATAGGGACCTGCGACACATTAAAACAAATAAGATGTTAGAATTATATTCATAAAAATATTTATTGAAAATTTATTTTACCTAGGTTCCTTCCAAGAAGCCGATTCAACTAAATAGCATGGTAATTCCTGACGAGACTTCAAATTGTCTATAACCGCTAGACATTTAGGACCAACAGCTGATCCATCACTGAATAAAGTTCTCGTGGAAGCCAAAATTGTCTCTGCATCCTGTGTATCAGAAAAAAAATTTTTTTTAGAGAAGTTATAAGAAAACCAAAAATATACCAAATTTCAAGAGTTAAGTTTAACAAGTTAAATACCTCAATATATCCAGTCAAATTTTTAATAATCTCTTCTAAATGTTTTCTGGTGTTGGCAGATAACAATTTCTTACGAATTTGGTGTTCAATTAAAGTGAGTTTACCATGGAGTAAGATAAAATACTCGCTAATTTCTTCCTCAGTCTTTTTAACTTCACGAATGTCTTTGTCATTATGATAAATATTATCAGCTAACTGAAAAAAAAAACAACAAAAACAAGATTAAAAATGTTATTTTAAGATGGATATATTAATTAATTAAAATGTACTTTAATAAAAATATTTTGTATTAATTAGATTCCAAATAATATAATCAATAAAGATTGTATTTCTTTAGGGATTCAAATATTTTTTAATATAGCTATACCATTTTATTTTATTTTTTTCAGAAATAAAATAATTATATTTTTTTATTTAGTTTATTGGAACACAACAACAAATTTTATCAAGCTTTAATTTCACAATTTAGCACTGAAAAAATATATTAAACTTATATTTTAATATGAATAATATTAAACTTATACTTTAATATGAGCCTTTCCGTTGATAGAATGACTAACTCAAATTTCAACATTTTTTAGTAAAGTCAATTTAGTGATATTTCTAGTTGGAAAATTTACAATATATGAGCAGTGAGTAGGTTTATTCTGGAGTAGGCGATTGCAGTGTTGAAATATAGAACTGTGAATAAAGGTGTACATTTTCGCACCAAAAATATCACTCAAATTAATAATACAAAATATTGAAATTGGAGTTAGTCATTCTGTCAACTGAAAGGCTTATATAATACAATGTGTGCTTGTTTTATTCAACACATCATCCACTTGCAGAACTAGTAGAAAACATTCGATCAAGAGTGAAAGAAAAATGTATATTTATGTTTAAAGGTTTGTTTAGGCATTTCACAAACTATGAGAAACACAACTATCTAACATAACAAACAGCGACATTATTCCCAAACCAAACTATTTATTTTATTTCTTTTGATATCGACAGTAGATGGAAAATATAAAAAAATAGAAACAAAAATAATAATAGCATAGTGAAATAAGAATTTATATATTTGTTTGTCCCGCAGCTTTCGAAATGTCTAAACACATCTTAATACTGTCATAAAACACGTTGATAGATGAATTGACAGATATTCATCCAATTAGACCCAATTGAAAATAATTGTTTAATATTCTTTAGTTTTTATAGATTATAATAATAAAAGATTTATAATTGATTTAGAGATGAAAACTTATTTAAATTGTTCCGAAGAACATTGATGACAAAAATAAAAATTTTCTTTAATTTTATTGCGTTTGTAAATAAATTGTTAATTTATACGTAAACTTGGTACCACTGTACAAGTGATGCTCCACTTTGATGAGGGACACAAGATCTCATGATCACGCTATTAAAGGAATCCACACTATGATGGAGTGTGCCCGAAAGTAAACTGTGAAGTAACTGTCTGGGAAGGGCTCGACCTCCACTGAAAAGAAACAACTGGGGGTTTTTATATTCCTTTAGAGCGAGCGATGGAAAGCAGCGATGAAATTAAAGATAATTAAGGCCACGATTTTTCCCGATTTCAACTGATAAAGACACGTTAAGAGTTAGCAGAAGTCGTAAATGTTAATCTAAATACATAAAAGGAGGATATGCCCACCCATCAACACTCGGCCGTTCTCAGAATCCAATTTATATCGTGATCAAGAGATCCTGGCACGCTCGTCAAAGTGGAGTGACAATTGTACAGTACTGCCGAAAAAATTGACGAGTTCACTAATATATTATGTGAGTTTACTTCGAATAATAAAATAAAATAAATTAAATTAAAGACACTATATTGTTATTTTTCTCTTGAAAGTTACAGCTATTTAAAAATTAATATAAACAACAGATGTATTTTCTTTTGTTTATTGGAGACTAGGTACTCATCCATTAAAGGAGTTTAATTTTATTTTATTTGTTATCATTTTTTTTTCTTTTCATATAAAACGCGATTATTTTGTATCAGTTCTCATTTTTATTGTATATAGTTTTAAGTAGTGTTGCCCAAATGCGAGACCAAGACGAGTCTTTGTCTTGCGTTCTGTCTTGGTTTTGGTCTTGCGCCAGAGTCTCGCCGTTACCTATTAGCCTATTAGTATAGAGATATTACAGTAATTTTTCAGATATGGGAAACCCAATTAGACCCAAATGAAAAATTGGAAGTGCTAAATGCAAAAGTATATTGGTTATACCAATTCTTTACAAAGAGCAACTTAAATTGTCAAATATTAGTTACTATTTTGCCTTAATTTTTTTTTTATACAAACGATGTCTTTTAACTGTGAATTGATGATTGACTGTAGAGAATAATTGAAGAGAAGAATGGTTGGGGCGATCAGTCAAAAATATAAATCATAAAAATAAATAAGTATATTTATTTTTGCCGACGTTTCGGCTCAAAGTTCAGCCGTTGCCAGTTGCAAAATGCAAGACCAAGACATGGGCAACACCAATTTTAAGTATTTTGTGCATAGTTTCATTTGTGTTGTGTACATTGTTAGTTTACGTAAGTTTTTTTCTTTTACTTATTGGAGACTAGATGTTTATTTATTAGAGGAGTTTAACTTTTTTTGGTAATTATTTACATGAGAACCAAACGGGCTACGAGTGGTTCACAAACACTTAGGTCGCACTTGTTCATGGAATGCCGAAAACAGTCTTTCGGATAAACCCAGATGCATTCAGCACTCCACACGGGCGGGAAGATAACAAATAAAATAAAATTAAACTCTTCTAATGGAAGAGTACCTAGTCTACGGAGGGGGGGGGGAGAGGGTTTGGGGCTGAAGCTCCCCCAAATGGTGAAATATAACAATGTTTTATGATCAAAATATTAAAAATTATATCTTAAAGTATTATTGTTCGTGTAATTACATTTAAAAGGACTTTAGGAATCACTTAAATTCCATTTCATATAGGTAGTTAGTTTCGTCCTGTTTTTCCAAAGTAATTATCGTTATTTTTATGTGAAAAAAAAGCTTTCAGGTTGAAGCCTCTCCCAAAATTAAATCCTGGATTCGCTAGTGGCTCTCCATGAACAGGTGTGACCGAAGTGATTGTGAGCCATGCGTAATCCGTGAGGTCCTCATATAGATAATTACCGTCTTTTTTTTTTTTTTTTTCATGTTTAAGTATTTTATACAATTTCTTTTATTTCATCATGCATATATTGCTAGTTTAATAAAACGTTTTTTTCTTTTAATTATACCTATATTATGTAACAGATTTTCTGGCCAGAATAAAGTGATTATTCTATTCTATTTTTTTCTAAATATTCAAGTTATGAGGGGGAAAAGTAGTGAATGGCAAAAAAATTAAATTACCGGCACATATATCAAACAGAAAGACAATAAAAATTTTGAACAGACTGCTTTTGTCGAAAGTTTTCATCAAACCGATCATTCAGCGGAAATAAAGATTTAATTTTTTTTTTTTAAATTACATGTTCCAACACACAGGGTTTGTCTTGCCATATATATATTGCATATTACAAATTGAGTTAAAAGAAAAAAAAAAACAAATCGATAAGAAATGAAGATAAGTGAAATGAAAAATAATGTGGGAATAAACAGCGGAAGGAGTAGGGGTTGGAGGCTTCCAGCCGAACTGACTCCAGTAGTGGTCCGAACTCCGAACCGATTGGTGTACCAAGTCCGCGTCACCATGGCTTCCCTAAGCACCTCAATCTTCATCGTAGTCTACCTCTCCTGTGTCATGATTATATCTGGTGGGTCTTAGGTTATAATCTTGAGTACATATCTTACATATAAAAATAATGGAATTTAAGAATAAAATTAGACGCAACACTACTGCACAGAACCACCAATTTATTTAAACCTTTATCGCACAATAACAAATTAACTTGTTGAAGCAAACATGTAACATATTTTGAAGCTATAAAATTATATCATAGCCATTCCTATTCTGCCACTGATTAAGAATGTGATTATTTTCGATAATTTTTTTAAAATTATATATTAATGAAAAATTACTTAAAAGCACAGGCGGATCTATGGGGAGGCTTTCGGGCTGAATCTCCCATCATCCCCCCTCACTCCAAAATGGTAAAATATAACCATGTTTTATGGTAAAAAATATTAAAAAGTTACCTCTTAACGTAATATTGATTGTTCATGTAATTACATTTAATAGGACTTCAAGAATCATTTAAATACCATTTCATATATCTTTGTTTTTTTTTCAAAGTAGCTATCGTTATATATATGAAAAAAAAAAAAGCTTTCGGACTCAAGCCCTCCCCCAAAATGAAATCCTGGATCCGTTGGAGCTTAAAAGCAAAGTCCCTTTCCATGGACATAAACACTAATTAATATTAAAACATTTAGGTTAATCTTTTACGTTAATTAATATAATTAATTTTAAGATGAACATTTTATATTTGCTCTTAACCAATTTGTGATATATCTGTTTATTTTTCATTTAAATTGTTTTTTGTCAATATATATTTTCATTTTGTTTTTGAATATATTTCATACAATTAAAGGTATTTTTTTTATCTTAAGTATATTTTTTCTTTTTTTAGAATACATAATATAAATTGGTATTATTATTTTTTTAAAGAATAGTGTCATTATTTCTAAAGGAACATGACCGAAAATAATTTATCTTAATTGATATATGACTTAATGGTCATAATTTATGTCTTAAATCCATATTATGACTAATTAGATAAGTTCAAATAATTTTAGTTACCAAGTGAATTAAAATTGCTAATTACTATCTTATATTTATATCTTAATATTTTCTTTAAAATGTTTTTTTTTACTATTAATATTTTTTTCTGGCACTCATTAAATCATTGGAAGGTGCAAATGGATGTCTGATTCTATATCTTTTACAGAGGATTTTTTTTTTAAGAATGATAAATATGGCTGTACATACGTGGGAGCTGACAGTAAACAAACCCAACGCCCAGAATATAATATAATGTCATATTACAAGTCCAAACAAATTTTCGCATTTTCAAATTCAGTAGCGGATTGTTCAATCCCAGGATTTGACAATGAAACTGATTCGTATAAACATGGAATATAAACAAAATTAAACACATTATCTTTAAGAAGCCAATATAAGTAATTTCGGTTTAATTCGATCTAAAAATAGGTTGCTTAATCTGTAAAATTGTAAGATTT